CACCAACAATTTTCTTCAAAAGAAGGGTACAAATCTCATCAAAAACTTCAAATAATTTATAAAATTCTGCAAATCCGGGGTAAATAAATTTCGTCTAGCACGGTATTTGCAAAAAAATTGTATACTTCTTTTTTTTTTTTTAACAAAACACTTGAATTTATTCCAATTTATCATTATCATGGTTTATAATAATCAATTACATATCAGATTTTAGTAAAATGAGACGACGTCTTCTTGACAGGACTTTACTTTTATTGGCCGTCAAGGTAGAAACTAAGCCATGGCCTGTCTCCTATAATCTTCTTGTCTCTTAAATTTGTAAGTATTTTTGCAACATAATCTTAAGTAAGTCTAAAAATTATTTTATAAAATTACAAAATTTCACTAATTAAATTAATTTATGATGCTAATATCAGTAATCCTAGTAAAAAAATACGTGAAACGCGTATTATCACATCTTATCACATTGCATAAAATGATTACTTTAACTGATTTAACCTTACTGCTATATTTCAGTCAAAAGTTAGTTCATGCAGAATAAGAAAGTTAATGGCGTATCAAAAACCTAATTTAATATTTATTTTATTATTTGAAATTTTGTAAATATCGAACCTATTCCAATTTGTATGAAATTTCGGCAGAAGGCTTGCATTTAATGAGCATGCATAAAAATCAGTGAGAATCCGCCCATATAAAATGTGACGGTATGAGGAAATCTGGTCAAATTCACCAGAATATTTATTCAATTTATGAATGAAAGCTTTGTATATAATATTATAAGCGTAAAAGATCAAAATATTTCCTCCCGCATGCGAAACCCCATGAAGGAACGCCTCATCGAAGGCTCGTGTGTCAATTCCTATTTTGAACAGAAATTTTGCAACAATTTTTCTCAAGTTTAACGTATATGGACACTCCAAATAATGGGCAACCTTTGGTTTTGACATATTGCAAAAAGGGCATAGATAATTATCATAAATTTTTAAAGAGAAAGCCATCGAGGGAGTAAGCCCAACGTTGTGCCAAAACTTAAAAACCGTGTCTTTCTCCGGGTTGGTTACTGCAGTGGTAGCCAAGCGCGACCACTTTTTGTGCGAGCAAAAAGCCATGTTAGGCTCTACCCACCGTATTTTTTGAAATACTCGTAAGCAATGCAAATAATTAGTCTGCTTGGCAACCATAACCCTCACTGACTTGTCAAAAATTGAGAAGCAATCAAATTTCGTTTCAATCGAGTCGGTAACCATGGCACCAATATCTATGTATTTTTTTCTCTCAGAAAAAGCATGCCGTTTGGATGATGCTGGTAATGATTCTAATGCTTTTATGTGACGTAAGCTAAATAAATCACAAACCTTAATAATATTACAACGTGAGATATAATTATCACTCAAATTTCGGAACAGAAATTTGCTACTAATCATCATCTCACGTAAAAGATCTCTACAGCACGAAGTAAGTCCCACGCCTAGCGTCTGGGTCACAGCATATAATTGTTTATAAAATGGTGTTAAATTATTAATGTCAGAATTAATTACCTTATGGACTTGGTTCAAAGATTCAGAGTGAAAGTATTGTTCACAACTTATTGCTAAAATTTTGTTTAGAAAAGTGAGTCGGAACGTGGCAATCTGTGCCGCTGGATTTCGCACGCCAAGACCCCCGTTTAAAAGCGGTAAGTAAACAAATGGTCTAGCCACCCATCGCTTCGACCCTGACCATATGTATTTTTCAATTTCCTTGCATATCTCCTCCAATATTTCCACCGGAGGATCTAAGATCTTGAAAAGGTACCAAAATATGGGGAGCAAAAATGTGTTTATAATTTTACTACGAGAGATATGACTTACAGGGGCACATTTTTTCGTGTAAAAATCCAACTTTGACCTAAACTTATCCATTAAAATTATGAAATTTTGAGCCGTATAGCTATTATTCCCAAAATAGATTCCGAGTATTTTTATACCATCAGAAACTACTGGGAATCTGGTAACGGGTGGCAATTGACCGCCAAGCAATAAAATTACAGATTTCTGAGTATTTAATTTCGAGGAGGAAAATTGTGAGTACTTTTTATATTCCGTTTCGATGATAGTGATTTGGCTGGGGTGACCAAGAAGGGCGTTTGTATCATCAGCATACGCCGATAAATACTTATCAGGATGCTTGCGCCATGCACTGGGGCCAGAAATACACAGTTTTTTGTGCAATCTAAAGAGCAGAGGTTCAATCCCGAGACAATATAGGGCCGAGGCAACAGGATCGCCCTGTTTGATTCCTGTTCGGACAATAATTGGGGCGGTAAGATCACTTCCAACCGAAATCAAAACAGAAGATTCGGTGTGAAGTAATCTCACAAAATTAATAAGTTTTGAAGGGAAACCAAATTTTTCTAAGATTTTAAATAAATAATCGTGACCTAACCGATCATAAGCTGCCTCCTGGTCCAGACTGAATAAGACGCCTTTAAGCTCACCGCTCTCAAAGGCGTCTCGCAGAAAAGAGAGGTTGTCAAACCAAAGAGAGGTGTATACTTCTTCTATAGCTAATGTAGGATAATTTTTAGTTGTAACTGCAAAAAATGATTAACAAAATACTTAAAACTTTACACAATAAATTTTACACGCAAAATTTTTAGTTGCAAAAAAAATGTGCAAAAAATTCACAATCTCATCAAATCGTCAAATTTTAACGTCGTAAATTTAAGTGATAATTTTTAGGTACAAAAATGGCAAAAAAACCACAATCTCATTAAAACTTCACATGATAAATTAAACGAACAATTTCCAAATCTCGTCTTAAACCCGGCACCCCATTTTTCTTTGCAAAAAACCTAATAATACGTAATCTTAGGCTCATTTTTTCCCTACAATAATCCACACAATACTTACGTCCAACTAAAAAATTACTTTCTCCATATTCGCTGGATGCATATTAATGATGCCAGTCTGACCAATATGCGGGGGTTTCAGGATACCCGATCCTGCTCTACATACTTGAACTAACTCCCGGGTGGCCTAGCTTAGGCAGAGAGCCTTAATAATAATGTGTGTTCCCTTTTCGTGGTTAGGCTCCTCTGGTGGAGAAAGCATATCGCATATCGCGTCGTATCGTGTAGCTGCAGCCGCAGTGGTCGTTGTTCCTCCGACGAGAAAGAGAAAGCCAGAGAGAAAGCAGACGACGAGGAAATCTCGCCTGGCCTTGGTTTCACTTCTCCCATTCAGTTCACCCAGTCCTCAAACCGAAGCCACACAAGACACATGAATTGTCAAGTAGTTTAAGTAGAGAGACACAAAAAGTACCTTTAAAATCGTGCAAAAATAATTTGCGAATAATAATTTTAGAAGAATTTTCCATAATTAACTGCCACCACCACCACCAGTGAAAGTTACAATACATACGCGAGATTAAGGATCCTGATCAAATTCGTGCAAAAATTATTTGCGAATTATAAATAATCCATTTAAATATTTGCCATAAATAACTGTCACCGCCACCACGAGTGAAAGTTGTTGGATTTAGAAGAGATTAATAGCTGCTGGTTGGCTGTTAAGATATATTTTTAATTTGCATAAACCTTGAAAATATCTAATTTTCATAAAAATTGAAATATAAATAGTTTGCATAAAACCGAAAAGGAATATTTAATTTTTGCATAAAACTAAAAACATTAAAAAATATTGGAAATATTTTCATAATTTCTTTTTCGGAAAATATTTATTAAATACATACGTCAAAATCCTGACCTCTAGAATTATTGATTAATCCGTTATTTATTTAGTTATTCACATTACCAGGCTGTCGTCACGATTCGCAATATTTTTTGCACAACGGGCTCCCAAAGACAATTGCTGGGCAGGTTCGAGTGGTCGAAAATCGATATTTTTCTTTACCAAGTATAGACTCCTATATTGATTGATCTTGATATTGAAAATATTTTTGTGCAGGGAAGAAAAGCTATGATTTTTTGCCCAAAATTTTGAAATATCTGGCAAAATATGCGTTCGAATGGTGCTTATGGAATAAGTGTACCTTAAAAATAGCCCTAATTTGGGATAAATTTGAGTAAAATTGCCATTCATTTAGGCGAAAAGTAAATAATAATTATTGCTTAATTCGTGGCTAGGTTAGGGAATAACGATTACTTAATTAAGAGGCAACGTCACTATTTTTAACCAACTTGCCATTTAACGAGTCATACATATTTACATTTACATAATTTGAGGTTATTCAAATTATAAGACATTATTTTACTTATTTTATGACAATATAAAACCATAAACAAAAATTTACGATTATAAAAAAAACGAAACTTCAATTCCGTTTCCATTCCATGAATGGAAAACTACATTTAAATTTCTACTCAATTTACATAAGTCACCACTTATTAAACCCATTAATTTAAAGTAATCAGTCCCATTATTTTCTGCATAAGCGTCATCATCTCTTCACATCTGACAAATATTATTGTCCAGTTAAATCATCTCTTAAAAACAAAAACAAGTGCGTCCAACTAACAAAATTTTACAAATTAACACTTTATTTAAGCCGAAAAATTTTGTGAATCACTGTAAAATTTGCGACGTATAAATATAAATTTGCACACATTAACAAAATTGACGAACAATTAACAATGGAAAGTTCAGTATGTACTTACATAAATACGAAAAAGTTCTGACTCATTGATTGATCGGTCTTGAACTTGACTGAGAATAATAATATGTAAATACTTAATAAGTTACGCAATAAATTCTTCGTTGTGCTGAGGAAACGTTGTAAATTAACTTGCCAATCACAAAAAATAATCATGGTGTGCTGGAATTTTGAACGAGTTTGCCACCTTTTTGTAAGAAAATAAAATTTTATAGTTTAATTTTAGGTGTTAAGGTTTTTTGAATCTTCTTTGAGTTTTGATTTCAAAAATTTTCAAAAAAAAAAACGATCAGAAATGTTTAGAAATTTTGAAAATTTAATTCATGATTTGATGTTGTTTCTTGCAGGGTTCTGGAATCGGAGAGCCCAGCGTGCATCACGCGTTAGTCGTTATTTTCCTAGAATTCTTCGCCTGGGGACTTCTCACCACGCCGATGATTGCGGTAAGCATGGCTGATAAGACTAACTTTTGTATGGATAAGTGGTTATCGTAATTTTTATAATTTTGGGTTTTTTTAGGTACTCAACGAGACTTTCCCAGACCACACATTTCTCATGAATGGACTCATAGTGGGAATAAAGGTGAGAGTTTTGCAAGGAATTTTGCGAAACTTGGCGAAGTTTGCAAGGAATTTTATACATAATTTAATTTTTGACAATGGATTTTAATTCCTGCATATTTTTTCCAGGGGCTTTTATCCTTTTTAAGTGCTCCGCTTATCGGAGCGTTAAGTGATGTTTGGGGGCGAAAATTGTTTCTCCGTAAGTTTTTTACATTTAAAATAATAATGAATTGGTTAAAATGTTGGATTCAATTTTTTTTTAAGTCTTGACCGTCTTTTTCACGTGTGCCCCAATTCCACTCATGCAACTCAACACGTGGTGGTATTTCGCAATGATCTCGATTTCGGGCGTCTTTGCGGTCACATTCTCCGTCGTATTTGCCTATGTGGCGGACGTTATCGAGGGTAAGTCACAATTCGGGGGATGGAAATTTTTGCAATGTGAAGAACAATTTTGGCAAACATTTTGCAAAAATAATGTACAAAAAAACTGTAAATCTTGTAATTCCATGTTGTCAAAATCAAAATCTTGCCAGAATCTGTCACAAAACAAATGCCCCAAAGTTTTTAAGTCATTGCGAAGAAAACTATGTGCAATTTTTTGCAGTGTATTTTTCCATAGCTGATGTTATGTTTTTGCAGATTGTAAGCCTTGCAATTCTATGTTATAAAAATGTGTTGCAAAACAAATCCCCAAATTCTTAACACATTGCGAAAAATCTTTGCAATTTTTTGCAGTGTATTTTTACACAGTTGCAAAACCAAGCAATATCATTTTTATATTTTTGCAGGTGAGCAAGAACGCACCGCCGCATATGGGCTCGTTTCCGCCACTTTTGCGGCTTCCTTAGTCACCTCACCAGCCCTAGGCGTTTACGTGTTTCGAAACTACGGGCGAGAAACCGTGGTCGCATTGGCGACCGCTATCGCCGCGCTGGACGTGCTCTTCGGTACATAAATTACTTACATAATTTTACATAAATTTTTATTCAGAAATTTTAAAAATTTCGAATTTTTCCAAAAGTCCTCGTCGCGGTGCCAGAGTCACTACCGCAAAAATTGAAGCAGAACGCGTGGGCGCCACTCGCCTGGGAGCAGGCCGACCCATTCGCCGCGTTGCGAAAAGTCGGCAAAGACAAGACCGTCTTGCTCCTGTGTGTCGCCGTCTTGTTGAGTTATCTGCCAGAGGTGGGTGGTTATCTTATCGAAATATGGATAAGCACTTTTATGTTATCATTTGTATACCTCTTTCTTTTTTTAGGCGGGTCAGTACTCCTGCTTCTTCGTGTACCTGCGCCTCGTCGTGGGCTTTAATCAGGAAGAGGTCGCCACATTCATTGCCGTCGTGGGAATAATGTCCGTCGTTGCGCAGACTGCGGTAGGAAAACTTATCATAATGATAAAGTCTTATGCATAGATGGATGATAATTAATTACGGATTTTTTTTCATTTTTACACAGATAATGGGACTCTTAATGAAAAACGTAGGACCAAGGAAGACAATAGTGATTGGATTGCTGTTCGGTAAGGTTTCTATCTTAATTAGCAAAACGTATGTACGAATTTATTCAATTTGCATTCATTAATAATCACTTTAAATTTCAGAAATGACGCAACTTGCCTGGTACGGATTCGGTTCTCAGACTTGGTAAGTGACGAAGATGTAAATGTGACGATGAGTGACGAAAATGCAAATGTGACGATGAGTGACGAAAATGTACATAAATGTGACGACGAGTGACAAATATATACATGTGGCGAGGAGTTTCGAATGTGCAAATGTGACGACGAATGACGAATATGCAAATGTGACGACGAATGACGAATATGCAAATGTGACGACGAATGACGAATATGCAAATGTGACGACGAATGACGAATATGCAAATGTGACGACGAATGACGAAAATGTAAATGTGACGATGAGTGACGAAAATGTAAATGTGACGACGAACGACGAAAATGTAAATGTGACCATTTTTGTTATCTTTTAAATTCAGGATGATGTGGGCTGCCGGGATTCTCGCCGCGTTATCAAGCATTACATACCCTGCCATTTCTGCGTTCGCGTCCACCCATGCAGATCCAGATAAACAAGGTGACGAAGAAATAAAATGACAAAAAATTATAGAGTCACCTTGATTTAACCTTTGACCCTTGACCTTTTTAGGGCTGGCCCAAGGGATGATCACTGGCATGCGTGGTTTATGCAATGGACTGGGTCCTGCCGTTTTTGGCGTGATCTTCTACCTCTTTCACGTCGACTTGAATGAGGATGAAGCCAAATTGAGTAAAGTTGATCAGATGACGGGGACCGGAAGTGGGCAACATGTCACTTTCGACACGGCCGGCGAAGGCGGGGTGGTCAACAATGTCACGGCCGAATTAATCGAGCCTCATCATGCGCTTAGTCATGTAAATAGATTTATACATAATTCGCCAAGTGTTTCGTGTCTTGCTAAATCCATTTGCAATCAAATTACGCACTGCAAAGCGAGAAATGCAAGAAATGCGAGGTGCAAGAAAGTGCAAAAAATAAGCGCCATCTAGCCACGCGCCGTATGATCATAGCGGCGGGAATTAGTTTCTATCATCTTGCAAGGTCAAAACAGCTAAAAACACTTTCTTCCCGTTATTTCCTGCAAGTTTCGCAAGAAGTTTCGCAATATCGCAAAAACTAAGCCATTTGCAAAAAAAACTAGAAATGCAAGGTGCAAAAAATTTCAAGAATGTACAAATACGCGCCGTATGAACTACGCTCGGCGGGACGTATATTTTTGCGCTTTGGATTTCGTGCGGGTCAAAATACCACTTTATTGTCCTTATTACTTGCACTTGAAACACTGAATTCGCAATTTTGCATTTTTTCGCACATTTTTAACCGCCACTTTCTTTTCCTCCTTAGATAATACCTGGGCCGCCCTTCGTTTTCGGCGCGTTCACCGTCGCGCTGGCCATCGGCGTTGCCCTGTTTATTCCCGAGAGGTCTAAACGTCGTCAAGGCGGGACGGATTCGGATCTCGTGGACTTAGAAAATCCAAACCTGCTTCCAGGCGGAAAAATGCCCAACACCATGGCCCCGCTGATCCCACAGGACCCTGCGATTCTCTAAAAATCAATCAATCAATAATCATCACTAACTTTAACAATAATTAATTAATTAGTGATTTTAAGTCATTTATGTATTTACTAGGTATGACTTTTGGTTGTTTAACGAGAAACCAGGGAGGACAATTAAAATTGTATTAATTAATTATGTAATTAATTTAGAAAATGACTAATTAATTAGAGATGAGGAGTCAGCAGTGTTTTTGCAGGTTTGCTACTTTGCAAAACAACCAATGCATGAAATGCGAGGTGCAAGAAATTGCAAGAAACTGTGCAAAAAATTGGCGCCATCAAGCCAAGCGCCGTATGAAATCTGGCGGCGGGGCCTCTTTTTTTGCGCCTTGCATTTCTTGCAGGTCAAAAAATATAACAAACACTGGAGTCAATTACTGATTTATTTGACCCTCTACGTTTTTTTAGTCTGCAAAAATTCAGTCATTATTACTATAAATATTTACCTTATCGCCACATGGATAAGAACTGATGATAACCTAATAATGCCACCCTACACAAGTCGCTCACTAACTGTAATGATAAGAATAAATTCCCCTTGTACACTTTTTATTTACAGTCAATTTTTAGTTTCCTACCTACATTACATTATTTTTGGTTTAAAAAACTTTTTCCATTTTTTGTGTAAACTTTTCAAATTACGGATAATAATTTATTTTCATAATTTTTGATTTCTTACTGTGACCGAATTTTTCTAGTTTCTTTTTTTCTGGGCAGGTTTTTATAAATCCCTGTAAAAAAGAAGAAGAAAAAGATAGACGCACAGAATATTTAGAAAAGCCAAGAGGTAATTTTTAGTGAGATAGCCAACCAGCCAGCCGATATGTATTCCACCCTGATTATTGCCAATCAAAATCTGTAAAACAAGGGAGGATTTTCAGCGGATTATCTCAGATTTTAAGCAAATTAGTGTCAATCGAGGACAAATTTAATTAGGATGAAATTTGCGAAATACACGATCTCCCAATGGGCACGTTTGGCAGAGATATTTGCATCCGAAGAGGAGAAAACGTGCCGTAAATTTAGAAAGTGTTAAATTTTTCGATTTTAAGACGCGTTTTCTCCTCTTTGAATGCAAATATCTCGGCCAAACATGCCCATTGGGAGATCGTGTATTTCGCAAATTTTATCCTAATTAAATTTGTCATCGATTGACACTAATTTGCCCAAAATCGGAGAGCACCCACTGGGAGACCTCCATTGTTAATAATTAGCTGAAGCATTAATTTTGGCAATTTAGTATTTCTCGTGGATTTTCGAATCCTTGTTATAAAAGAAAGAAGAAGAAGAACATCATCATTTTATAACCATTTTAAGAAAATCATGTCATCGTAACAAAAGTTAGTTAGATAGCTTAGCTAATTATGTAAATTAGTAAATAGTTAATCGTTATCAAAAATCCTAGAAATTTTTAGGAGTATTATTACAGTAAAATCGAGATGATTTAGCAACGTGCCAGCCACACGCACGCCGATCGCATCACCAAAATTTAGAAAAATTTTGTCTCACCAACCAATTTTTAGAAATTGGGTAGATTTTCAAAAAGTAAAATTTTCTAGACTTTTGTAGCAAACTAAATTTTAAGAGGTATTCATGATAAGGGGAAGAATTTAATAGTAATTAATTAATTGATTAATTAAATAGCATATACCAATTAATTAATTAAATTGGTTACTTAATAATTCTTGAAACTCAGGCTTATCGAATACCTCAGAAGAAAGATAAGAATTTGATATTTTAAGTTCTGTGATGATGATGATTAGATTTAGATTTACATAGATTCTTGTCATTTTAATTAGTAATTAATTATGTACTAATTATTAATTACTTACTAACAACGGGAAAATTTAGGAACAAAATTGCCTCCAAAATTTTACGAGTAGTTAATTAACTAACTAATTAACTAACAACCTGCAGAAATATCAGGATCTTTATGTCCAAATTAAATCCTATCCGTGGTACCTTTATAAAAAACCTTAAAATAACTAATTAATTACCCACAAAATTATACAATTAATATTTTTATGCGTGAGAGAAAACAAGACAGAGTATAAAAAAATGTAAAACAAAATTTAACAAATGCACAATCATTCGTAAATATTAAAAAAAAATACTTGACTTGGGCCAGGCCAGAGGGGAATAATTTCGAAAATAATTTGAAACATCGAATTGAATTGAAAATTTCCACATTTTTGGGGAAAAGATGAATCATCGTCAAAATCAGTACATTTTTAACAATTTCTTCTAGCTCTGGAAACTTATTTTAAATTTCTGAAAGACAAACTTGTAGTCAGTGAGTTGATTAATGGAATGGCGTTGAGTTTTTTGAGCCAGTTTCGACGAGTTCCAATTTTTCGGAAGGTTTCTTAAACTTGAGATCTCCTCCTTCAAAAAGTGTCAAAGTCTGGAGTGTATATTTTTGAATAATTGGGAACGATTTATGCTCTACAAATTTGTCTTTCAGAATTTTAAAATAAATTTCCAGAATTGAGAAATGTGCTGATTTTGACGATGAGTCATCGAGTCTTGTGATGACGCCGATTATGATTTTTTTAGTTGAATGACAACTAATTTTTGATCAGATAATTTCGGAAAGTTTGAAAAATTTGTGATTTTTCTTCCATAATTGTTGTAAACGAATTTTGGGAAGAATTTTTTTGTGATGTAATTAATATATTTAGTTGTAAATGAATAGCAGTATTGAACTGGTGGATAAGCACGGAATTCGTAATTGTAGAAGATAATCTTCACGATAAGTTAAAAGCTTATCAAGTTAAGAAGGTTGATTGATTGATATTGTGTGAAAATCATGAATTTCGAATTTTATGTATTGTATTCCACTAGGAAAAAGAAGTCACTTTTTAGCCGTTGATAAAAATTTCTCTCGTTTAGTTAATTAAGTAGATTTTAATTAATTAAACATTAATTAATCGATTTATGGATGTCAGTTGAGGGTCAAAATTTGCAAAAAAAAAGAATATTTACAAAGCTTATTACACACACCGACACTGAAAAAACATGCACTTTTAAAACTTTTTCGGGGCTAAAGTTTTAAAGCAGAAGGAGAGACTGAAATTATTATATTGTATGTAAATCTTTAAAAAATCTATACAGTGTAAAAAACAATGTGGTAATTAATTAATTAAGAGAGAAAAATTTAATTAATTAAGAAATAAATAAAAAGAGAAAATTATGAGTAAAAAATGAAAGTGTGATCAACTTTTTTTTTGGCATGAATTATCAAATTATTTTGAAATCTTGGTTTTCATTTGAGTTGTAAACTTTCGAAATTATGCTACTTAAAATGTTCACTCAAATTTAAAAAATTCAAAATCTGCAGAAAATGTTATTAAATTTTGCAAAATCACTACGAGTGGCTTACTTATACAAAAATGATTGTTTTTATAATTCATAAAATTTGAAGAAAAAAACTTTTTTCAAAAGTTTAGCACAAACAATTCAACTACACCACGAATTTACGGTATTTTAAAATACGTTTTAAATCAATACCGCTGCAAATATTCATTATAACATTTATTTAACGTTGAAAAATTGGGCTAATTTTGAAAAATAATTTTCTTTTTTATTTTCTTTTTTGAAATTTATATAATCTAATGAAATTTATGCTGCTATATTAATTTTGTGTAATTTGATTAAGTAGCAAACGTTTAGGAGAACTTTATTTTGATATCTTGTGCGAGAAGGATGTCATAAACTTCTTCTGACTGTATATGTGTAAAAGTGGTACCGATTAATTGGCAATATTGCAAATTTTCGGCATTTCTTGGTTTTGCACTAACTTATTGTTTAATTAATTGCCCAGATTGATTATAGATGTGCAATTTTAACACTAATTAACGGACTACCATACATTCATTATATCTTAAAGTACTTTTAATAAATATCAATGCAAATATTCATTATAGGCGTTTAACGTTGAAAAATTAGGCAAATTTTAAAAAACAGTTTCCTATTTTTTTTTGCTTATGAAATTTGCAATTTAATCGAATACATTTTGTGATGCTAAATGCTTAAATTAATTCTTGCCCTATTTAATACAATTTCTTATGTTGAGGTTTTCTTCTTCCCTCATAATTTATGAATTTTGTTAGCAGAAATCAAGTTAAGCGTCATATTTTGTGCTAAATCAAAATAAAGTAATACAACAAATAAAGGATTAAAACTAGTTAGATTTTCGGAATTCGAAAACCAGTTCAGAATTTTAAAGTCACTTCTAAGAGGTTAACCTCTTAACGGCGAAGTACACACATTTGTGTAATAACTTTTTTACTGCTCACGGCGATTTTTTGATAGATTAATCCAATTAATTAAAAAAATAAATAAATTAGTTCTGGAAACTTATATTCAGGGTGGTTTAAATGTCAGGTTACAATGGAAAATTTTTCAATGAGAAAAATTCGTAAATTTCCATTAGTTACGGATTTGGGATTGAGATTTTTATTAATTTTTATCAAAACTTATGGAACACTGATGACAAAATTCTTAAAATATTGAATTTCAAAGGCAAAATTTCGGTAACTAATGGAGATTTGCGAATTTTTCCCATTGAAAAATTTTCCATTGTAACCTGACATTTAAACCACCCTATTTGTTATCTTAGCAATTGGTATAATGATACTTTTAATGTTGTAAAATCACTCAAGGTGGCTAACTATGCGAAAAAAATGTAAATCATATTTTTTAAAAAACTTCAAAAAGATTTTGGATTTTTGGATTAAAAAATTCTAAATTTTATTATTAGCAAAACGTTTACCACAATTTCACAATAATGTAATCTTTCGTCGTATTCTTTACTGTAGATCACGCTTAAATACAAAATATTTTACTAATTACAAATTGAACTTCCATAATTCAAAAAACCAGTTCAGAATTTTAAAATCGCTTCTACAAAACAATGAAAATGATGATAGTTTAATCCAATTAATTAAACAATAATAATAAATCAGGTCCCTAATTACACATTTATTTATCTTAGAAATTGGCATATTAGTACTTTCAATGTTGTAAAATCACTAAAGGTGGCAAACTATGCAAAAAAATTAAAATCATATTTTTTTTAGCTGTATGTTTGGTACAAAAATAAACTCGGATCAATTTGCAATCCTATTTTTTTGGCAAATAATGTTAAATTCAGGGTAAGGAAAACCCGGGGTTTTGCTATTGAAAACCCATACCCCGGGGTTTTACCTGGGTCGGGGTAGTCGGGGTAGTAGGGGTAGTCGGGGTAGTCGGGGTAGTCGGGGTGGTCGAGGTAGTCGGGGTTTTGGGGCAAACTGAGTCAGTGTCTCATGTATTAACTTCAGAAATTAATGAAAAAATCAGTTTTTCAGTAATTTCGTAACAAAACTGCTTATTAATTATATTTTAATAGGTAATTAATTTGTTGAATTGCTAGTAAAGCCCTGTTATCATATTTTGTAAAATTTGAAAACCCCGACTACCCCGACTACCCGTGGGTATTGCTCTAATTTGCTACCCCAAAACCCATCAAAACCCCAATACCCCAAAAACCCGGGGTAGCATACCCTAGTTAAATTATTGCACAATTTTGCAATAATTTAATCTTTCGTCTCGTTCTTGACTGTAAACCACACCTGAATAAAAATATTTTACCTATTACAACTATTAAACTTCCAGAATTCAAAAAACCAGTTCAGAATTTTAAAATAACTTCTACATAAAAAAATTTGATGAAAAAATGATTACAGTTTAATCCAACTAACTAAACAATAAAAAATCAATGATTCGTCGGCTCTTCTAGATCTAAATATGCTTTAATAACATTTTAATTTTGCAAAATCACTAACGTGGCCAACTTTGTCATTTTTAAATAAATTATGAATTTTATATTTAAAAAATTTTCGGATAAATTTGCAACCTTTACAAAACATTCGTAATTTTACAATAATTTAATCGTAATTTGTACATTTTCGCATAACAATTACGCCGAATTTGGAAAAATGTAATAATTGATTTCCTCTAAAATTCATAGATCCATCAGTATGATCCGTTTTTCATATGTGGCATAATTTAAGAATTTAGAAGTTTAAAAATTTCGAAATTTTCAAATCGCTTTTCCAAAATCATGACAGGTTCGTCGTCTAAAACTGGACCAATAATTCCTTCGCGTTGACGTCACCGTCATTTTTTTGCGGGGAGATAAAGTACATATCTAAATCTAGCCGAAACCGGAAGTGAGGCACTTTTTCCGACAGGGTTTTAACCACAATGGAGCATTCTTTATCATCAATTATCAAATTATTTTGAAATCTTGGTTTTCAATTTCGAAATAAAATTTTTTTTTGATATTCAACCAGTACAAGTTAGGTTTAACTTTATTTTATTTTAACAATAATTTGTACATCATTTTCACAAAGTTTATGTATGTATGTATTGCTTAATTATTTTGCACAATTAACAGAACAGTTTACCTAAAATTATTGTAATTACGCAAAATTTGAAGGAATATAATGGAATTGAGTTCTAATAAAATTCATATTTACAGAGTTTAGAATTTAGAAACTAAAAAAACCTGCAAATTTTGAAATCACTTTTCCAAAATCATGACAGGTTCGTCGTCTAAAATTGGACCAATTTCTTCCTCTCTTTGTCCTCCCAAGGTTAATTGTTCTTCTTTCGTGTCGTCATTTGTGTCGTCGTCATCACTTTTTTGCGGCGGAATAAAATACGTAAATCTGGCCGAAACCGGAAGTGAGGACACTTTTCCGAACACGGTTTTCACCACGACGCAGTATTTTTTATCATCAATTATGAAATTATTTGAAAATCTAGGTTTTCATATAAAAAAATTTCACATTCCAAAAATTGTAACTTTTTTAAACTTGATTTTATTTATTACAATAATTTGTACATTTTCACAAAGTTATGCATCTACATATTACTTAATTATTTTGCACAATTAACAAAGCAGTTTACCTAAAATTACAATAATTACGCCAAATTTGGAGACATATAATGGAATTGCTTTCCACTAAAGTTCACATTTTCAAATTTGCTTAATTTAGAATTTTGCAGCTACAAAATTTTCGAAATTTTGGCATCACTTTTCCAGAATCATGACCGGTTCGTCGTCTAAAATTGGACCAATTTCTTCCTCTCTTTGTCCTCCCAAGGTTAATTGTTCTTCTTTCGTTTCATCGATATTTGTGTCGTCGTCATCATTTTTTTGCGGCGGAATAAAATACGTAAATCTGGCCGAAACCGGAAGTGAGGAGACTTTTCCGGACACTGTTTTGACCACGACGGAGTACTCTTCCCCCAGAAGGAGGCCCGTGTTGTCGAGGTGCGTTCGGGGGGGCTTGCTTCTCGGCACGAATTTCTGAACCGGCTTCCCCCACGAGTTCTCCTTTTGGATGTACACGTTAAAACCGTCGTGCTCACTGTGTACAAAATTTCAATGATTGGTTATAGTTTTGAAATTTGTGACAAATTTCGAAAAATAATGATTTTTAATTTTTTCGACGACTTAATTTTCCAAATAGCTGAAATATCTTTACAAATTCATTTTTCGCTTTGCCAGCTTTCGATCTTCATGAATAATTTTAAATATAAATTATACATAAATAAATCTTCGACTTTTTTGTATTACAAAAAAATCGAATTTTCAAAAATCGCCAGTCAAAAATCGTCAGTCAAAAATCGTCAGTCAAAAATCGTCAGTCAAAAATCGTCAGTCAAAAATCGTCAGTCAAAAATCGTCAGTCAAAAATCGTCAGTCAAAAATCGTCAGTCAAAAATCGTCAGTCAAAAATCGTCAGTCAAAAATCGTCAGTCAAAAATCGTCAGTCAAAAATCGTCAGTCAAAAATCGTCAGTCAAAAATCGTCAGTCAAAAATCGTCAGTCAAAAATCGTCAGTCAAAAATCGTCAGTCAAAAATCGTCAGTCAAAAATCGTCAGTCAAAAATCGTCAGTCAAAAATCGTCAGTCAAAAATCGTCAGTCAAAAATCGTCAGTCAAAAATCGTCAGTCAAAAATCGTCAGTCAAAAATCGTCAGTCAAAAATCGTCAGTCAAAAAGCGTCAGTCAAAAATCATTAGTCAAAAAACAGCAGTAATATTGACAAAATTTATGCATTTTGAAAAAATAGGCCGCATACTGATAAAATTTACGCAGTTTTTGAAAAATTGACAAAATTTATAACTTATTTCTAAATTGCTGGCGTATTAACAAAATTTACGCCTTTTTGAAAAATAGCTTGAAATACTTGTTGGCAAAATATTTCGGAAAACCTGGCTAGAAATAATGCCTTTTTTAATTTAACAAAATTTACGCATTTTTGAAAAATTGTCTAAAATATTGAAAAAAAAATTATTTCGGAAAACCTGGCTATATAGAAATATAATTTAACAAAATTTGCGCATTTTTGAAAATAGCCCGAAATTATTTCGGGCTATTTTCAAAAATGGTTTTGTAAATATTTCGGCGAAATATTTACAAAACCTGTCGAAAAACCTAGAAATAAAAAAAAATATTTTGAAATTTTGAAAAATTTGCATACCCATCTAAACTTGACGGAGGATCCCACTCGACCAAAACTTTCTGCCCAGTTCCTCCCCCCACTCCGAACGAGACGAGTGAAATGGTGACATTTTTGACCGGAAGTGGCATCGTCCTGTACTCCTTGAACACTGCGATGGATTCGACTTCCGTCCCAGCGACGGGATCATCGGAAATCGTCGACACCGAAATATTGTACGATTTACCCGGCGTGAGGGCAAAGAAACCGGGACGCACGCCGCCAAACTGGTACTCCCACCGGGTCACGTACAAGGTCGAAATGGGCGACTGCGGGGGAGAAAGTTTCGCCTGGAAATATAGAAATTTGAAAAATTTTGAGATAAAAGTTTTAGAAATTTTTAGACATTGAGAAAAATTCAAAATTTTTAGACAGTGATGAATTTTACGTAAAATCTATAGTAAAATTTTACTATAGATTTTGAAGTCTTTTTTACGGATTTCTGAAAATCTTCAGAAAATTTGGTCAGTTTCAAGTAAAATATAGATATTTTAAAGGTTTCGAGTTTCTGAGTTACATCAAACTTTTTTTTAAGGAAATTTCAAAATTATGCAACTTGAAATTTTCACATAAATACAGTAAATTTAAAATCTACAGAAAATGTTATCAGTTTTAAGTGAAACATATTTTGATGATTTCGAGGGAGAAAGTTTCGCCTGGAAATATTTAAATTTGTAAAATTTTGAGGTAAAAGTTTCCCAGATTTTTACAGTAAAAAAATTAAAAATTTTCAAAGCATGAATTTTACGTAATCAAACAATGGATTTTGAAGGCCAACTGAAGAGTTCTTTTACATATTGATTTCCAAATGTTTTAAACATTCTAAATTATTTATTCTATTTGAAATATGGAAATTGAGGAAATTCAAAATTTTCAGAAAATGTGAGCAGTTTCCAACTCTGAGTTTTTTTTACGCACATTTCAAAATTATACAAATTAACAGTCACAAATTGTGACTCACAATTAAAACGTTAATTTACAACAATTAACAAGTTGCTTATTTATGGTCCATAAATTACTGATGCTAGCTTATCTGTCCAATACTATTCCACGTTAAATTTTATATAAAAATTTCTTAACGACGTTCAAATTCTCCAAAATTTTCTTGCAAGTTAAGATAATTAAAAATAGCTGTGGGATATGAAAAAATTAGCTGTCAGCTCAGGTGAAATATGAAAATTGGGTTTTCATAAGTTTTCATAAGTTTTCATAAGAAACGAATTCAAGATGAATGAATTTTCAGGCTCGGATTCCGTTTTTAACAAAATTTTTCAATAAAAAAATTTAATTCCTAATTTTTTTTTACAGAAATTTCAAAATTATGCTACTTGAAATTTTCACTCAAATTCAGGAGTATTTCGAAACATAGATTCAGGAAGACTCAATCCTATTTGATCAGTTTTAAGTGCAACGTACATATTTTGACAGTCTCGAGTTTTTAAAATCTACATAATTTTGTTTTTACGTATTTCTCGAAATTTTGATCTATTCAAAAATTTTCCAAAATTTTCCAAAATAAATATTACTTCCCTTACCTTATACCGCTGGAAAACTCCGTCCGTCGGTGGTTGCCACAAAACTAGGAAACACGTCTCATTTCGATACCACACGACAAATCGATCCGGTGGATTCGGCCCTGAAAAACATTTCATATTTATATTTATTTCATATTTATTTCGCAAATTTGCAAATTTTTTCTGCACTCACTTATCGTAAAATTCGCGCTAATCGGGTCACTCAGCCTGGTATGAAATTCCGTCTGAATCTCAACCTCGTAACTTCTCCCTTTTTCGAGCCGATAAACTTTATCCGTGGTGAAAGTCGTTTGGTCCACGTCGACCAAAAATGAGTCTGAGTGGACGTCCACGTCTTCCCCGGCGTGGAGCACGTGTCGCAAAGGGGATGACGCCTCCTCGCTGGGGAGTAGGTGGGACGTTATAGTGACCTTAAATCCGGTCAGTTTTTGCGACCTTCGTTTCGACACGGGCTGAAATTATGAGGAGCAATTTTTTAAAGTTCCACTTCCGGTTTCGTTGGAAAAATTATCAGTTTTGCTACATACATTTTTTGCACTGGGAAGCAAGCAATGCAAGAAATGAGAGGTGCAAGGAACTGCAAGAAAGTGCAAGAAATTCAATTTGCAATAAACTGTAAAAAAGTGCAAAAAACAGGCGCCATCTTATTTCCTGCGCCTTGCATTTGTTGCAGGTAAAAATTGATGCAAGAAACCAATTTCTCGCGGTTATTTTTTACAAGCAGTGTTTCATTTCTTGCGGGTTTACTATATTTCTTGCAATGCAAATCCAGAAACGCAAGAAATGCGAGGTGCAAGAAAGTGCAAGAAACATGGACCTTCTAGCCACACGTCGTATAAAATATTTATAGCGGTGGAGGGTGGTTTCTTGCGTCTTGCATTTGCTGCAGGTAAAAGTTTTTAGCTGCAAGAAACCATTTTCTCCCAGTTATTTCTTGCAAATGGTTATTTACTTGAATCCGAAACACTGTAAAAAATGCTAGCATACCGTGAATTGTGGCGTCTCCCAAATAAACGCTGCCACCGGGGTGGAAGAATCATCGCTAATTTTCACCCGCAAGTTTTGCGGGGGTGGAATTTTGTCGTCGTCATCGTCTTCGTACTTGTGTCCTTCCGCTTCTAAGAGAAGCGACCTTTCCGACGAAAACTGGTATGAAGACGTCACTTCTTCGATATCTTGGGGGAGAAGGATGTCATGAATTTCCTCAGACTGTAAATATACGAAAATGGTACAGATTAATTTTGCAATATTGCAAATTCTCTGCGTACCTGGATTTTGCACTAAGTTATTGCTTAATTAATTTTCTAGATTAATTATAGAAATGCAATTTTAACCTTAATTAACGGATTAATTAAAAATGGTGCTGATTACATAGTTTATAGTATTGCAAATTTTATGCATGTGCCTGGAATTTCTTTTAAATTTCTTGTTAAATTTAAATTTATTGTTTATTTTTTGTTTAATTACTGTTTATTTATTAATTATTGTTTATTTATTAATTATTGTTTATTTATTAATTATTGTTTATTTATTAATTATTGTTTATTTATTAATTATTGTTTATTTATTAATTATTGTTTATTTATTAATTATTTAAGTGTCCAGCTTAATAATAATTTTGACCTTAATTAGCATACGTATGTACATAAATATTAAATACTAAAAGCCCACAAACAATTGGGTCGTGTCAATTATACGGTTTGGTAAAATCTTCTGCTTCGTTCTTTCTTTTACCACAGTAAAAATTCTTTATTGGCGTTTAAGGTTGAAATTACAAATTTCAAAAATTCTGAAATACTGACTTTGTTTTACTTAATTCGTGCTTTAAATACGTAGAATAAAAGTTATGTTCATGTTAATTTTTGCGTAATTTGATTAAATGATAAATATTTAGGAAGACGTCACTTCGACACCTTGTAGGAGAAGGATGTCAGTCAACACTTTAAGTATGCAAAAAATGGTTAAATATTTTAATCAGCTTATAATATTGCAAATTTTCGGCTTTTTGCACTAATTTATCGTTTAATTAAATAATTGTCTAGATTAATTATATAAATGTAATTTCAAGGACGTATTTATAAGTAAAAAATGGTGCTGGTTAATTTACAATATTACAAATTTTTTGGATGTGCCTGGAATTTTTTTTCTAATTTGGCCACGTGCCCAGATTACACAATTTTAACCTTAATTAACTGTACTTGGACCCATGGGTATCTTAAAATATTTAATGGTCGCTTAGCACAGCAAATATTCATTATTGGCGTTTAAGGTTGAAAACCCAAATTTTTCGAAAATAATTAAATGTTGCTTTTTCTTTCTTTTATTTAATTTGTAATTTAAAATTTATGCTGATAGATTAATTCTGCGTAACTTGATTAAATTACAAATGTTTTGGAAGTCGATATCTTGTAGGAGAAAGATGCATGAATTTCCTCAGACTCTAAAAGTACGTAAAAATTGTACTAATTAATTTAAAATATTGCAAATTCTGGGGCATGCACTAATTCATTGTTTAATTAATTGTCCAGGTTAATTTTAGATATGCAATTATGCAATTTTAACGTTAATTAGCGGACTTACACAATCATTTTGCAATATCTAGAGTTTTTTGTATCTCATAGCACGTTTGATTTTGATAGGACTGCGAAAATTCATTATTGGCGTTGGAGGAGGAAAACCCAATTTAATAAAGTTTTGCCCTTTATTCTTACTTGATGTGCAATTTAATCGATAAAATTTATCACGAAATATTAATTATTGCATAATTTGACTAAATTACAAATGTTTAGGAAGACGTCACTTCGATATTTTGTGGGAGAAAGATGCCATGAATTTTCTCAGACTGTAAATAATTGTAAATTTCCCACGTAAGTTTCTAGATTTTGCATTACTGCTTAATTAATTGCCCAGGGTTGTTTTAAATATGAAATTTTTATGTTAGTTAACAGATGTTCTTAAATTTTAATTTAACTCTAATAATTGTATTTAAAATCTTTCAAAATTTTTCACTTTGATAACAAAGCAAATATTTATTATTGGCGTTTAAATTTTAAAAATCAAATTTTGAAAAGTACGAAAACGTTGCTTTATCTTTTTTTCTTAATTCGGAATTAAAGTCGAATAAAATTTATGATGGTAAAGTAATTCTTGCGTGATTTGATTAAATTACAATTGTGTCGGGTTAAGTTTTCGTGTTCGTTATTTATGAATTTTGAAATTTTGACAGAAATGGATCATACATATTTTGTACTTCGCCAAAATAATTGATTACATCTTTCAAAATTCAAAAAAACAATTCAGAATTTTCAAATCACTTCGACAAAAGTAATATGATGAGCAATTGGTAGCAGTCTAATTCAATTAATTAATTCACAAAACAAAAATTAATTTCAACGGGAAGAAAGAATGAATCTGAAAAATTAGCTTGATCATACTTTAAACTGTGTAAAATCAGTAAGGGTGGCTTATTTATTCCAAAGTTTTAAAAAAATTCATAAAATAAATAAAAAACTATAAAAAGCTTGGTATAAAAAAATTTCGGATGAAAATCACAGTTAGGTAAATATTTTTAGCAGGACATGCCCAATTTTCAAGCAATTTAAAATTACTTGGAGTAATTATACCTTAAAATTTGAAAATCATCTTGAAAAAGTATGTAAAATTTTTTGGACAAAAATTAAAAAATCACAAACTTATTTTTTTCAAAAACATAAAATTTGCAATTTTGCAATAATTTAATCTTACATCACGTTCCTTAGACGCTGCTGCTGCTGATACTGGTCCGATATTAAATGCAGCACTAATTGCTAAAATTGTCAGGATCAGGAAAAGAAAAGTTGAGGCTGGCCTTATCCCAAATATTTGTAAGTGTTGATAACCACCCAATTTCCTGCATTTTCTTGAACAAGACTTTTTCTCAAGGAGCAGTGATCTGGCGTAATTTTGTGACTGCTGCGTGCCCTCATATCTCGTCGATGTCACTGTTATCACCGCATCCATTTTGTTTGTACCGTTTAATTAAAGTCTTATTTACTTATAAATTATTAGTTAATTAGTGATTAATTAATTGTTAATCACTAATCGTATTTTTAATTTGTACTGCTTGCACTTTTAGATAATAAAATCTTTAAAACAATTGGAAATAACTTTACATACGCAAATTGTAGAATTGTATATTTTTGCAAAATAAATTATTTTTGATTTTGAAGTTTTCTGAATTTTATTTGATTTTTTGAAACTATTTATAAATTAAAATATGTACGACACTGATTTTATTTAATGTTAGTTACACTTTTTAGGTTTAAAATTCACTTATCCCGATTAGTTACGAATTGGCAAAATAATGTGATTTTTGTTGCAATTATTATTTGTACCTAGATTTGTCGACACAAAGCTCTTTGCAAATTTGCAGAATACACGAGTTTCTTGTTTTGCAAAAAAGTTCACTAACACAAGTAATTTGCACTTTCTTTTATTTGTTGTTGTTTTAGTCCCATTTTTAAATATTTATGACTCTGTCACACAACTAATTTGCATACGGTGACAAATTGCCACTAATACGGAATTTTCCGTTAGTATGTAAATTTTCAAGAAATCTTCCTTTTGACCCTAACTTCTAACTTTGTAGGTACTTCATAAATTTTGAAATTAATTTCCTGAAATTTTATTTATTTTTTCACGCCTTAATTTCAAATAATTTCCAACCAAAATCTCTCCTCTAAACGTTTCTGCACTCTTCTCAGAGACGAATTAGTTGGAAAAAGTTCCAATCGTGACATGATTTTGACACTTGCGAAAAACAAATTTGCACAAAATTTGCATGAAATTTGCAACAAAGTCGCAAGTTTCTTCTTTTTTTAAGATTCCAGTTCGCACTCAACTCTAATTAATTACATAATTTTGTCTGGAAATGAAAACGTCCAAATATGTAAATCGTCGTGACGTGACGAATCCGTGACCACGAAGAACCAACTAAATTCTGACGAGTTTTGACATTGACATACAAGTTTGAAGTTTAAATCAACCATTAAATTGACCATTTGATAAATTAAATAGTGGGGAATTTTTTTCTGAGAAAGTGCAAAACTGGAATTTTATCCAAATCCAATCCAATAAAACAACTCTATCTTCCACCAGATTTCGCGAATTGTGTGCAGAATAGCAAAACTTGTTTGGTCTCTAGTTTGCATGGACAAGTTCACGACTAACTTATACATACACCTGTATAATTATTGGTGTAAGGTGACAGTGGAAAATTGGCAATAATTCGCGAATTTGGATGACATCATCAGCACCACCACCTTCATGATATTGATTAAAGGACATTTCGCAAAAATGCATGCTATATAATCCAGGGTCAAATGTATGAAAAGGTAGCTGTATCGCGAATTCGAGATCCTTCCTACCTCAACTTATTTAGATACCTTAATTTGCACACATTGCAATTAAATTTGCACTATTATTAAATACAGATATTCTCCCACTAGGAATTAATTAATGGTGGTAGAACATAAACTGTTTAATAGGAGATTAATGTGATATCCGTATTACGTATTTTTGCACATTTATTCACTAACTGCGCATAAATATGGATCTTATAATTTGCATGCACGCCAAAATTTGCAACTTCTGCGTGTTTAACAAATTAAATAAAATCGTAAAAACCGACAATTGCGATTCGCAACGATCCGTCAATCAGCACGATGTGAGTGACAATAAAATTACACAACATGCGCAAAATATTAGCACACGATACAACTTTTTTATTCGCAAAATTCGAAATCACAAATCTGGATGTAACTGGACTCAATTTTTGCAAATAGTTTTTTGCATGCAAAATTTTAATAAATATACAAATCACGATTTATTACTTATTTCCTCCGTGATGAACGAACTTGTTTGTTCAGTTTGGCAAGCAAATGTCATTCATTTCATCGAGTTGACAATCAGACAAGTTTTTTTAACAATAGATTTTATTTAACTATTTATTTAACTATGAGGCGAATTAACTTGTTATGAATGAATATTAACGATAACGAACGACTCATATCATAATATTTAATTTCTGCAACAGCTAAATTGCAAACCATTTAAATCATCAAGGTAAACATAATAATTTGCAGTTAACTTTAAAATGAAGAAAGTTGACTATTCCACTTTTTAATTTAATTTAATTCAACTGAGCTCGTTACCAAAATAGTAATCAAATTGCAAAAACATAGATCAGTTTTGCACTAATCGTAAAAATGGGACTAATTTGATGCACTTTTTACATTTAACTTAAAAAACTGGATCAATGTCAGAAAAAATCCATGTGAATTCAAAATGAAGAAAGTTGACTGGTCCACTTTTTAATTTAACTTAAATGAGCTCATTACTAAAAGCACATTGATTACTAAAAGCACATTGATTACTAAAATAGTAATCAATCTGTAGAAAAAAACAGGGTTTTTAAATCTTAAAATGGGACGAATTTTATACAATGCAATTGCATGCACTTTTTCATAATTGACCAAAAAACTGGATCAAAATCTGGATCAATGTCAAAAAAATACACGTGATTTTTTTCCTTCTCGAAATTAAATAACTGCCAATAATAATACGTAATTATCTGTATTACATAATTTCTAGTCTCGCGTTTCACTCCACAATTACTTAACTTACTTAGCTACCGTCATATTAAAAGTATTATGTATTTAATAAGTTAATTAGTCATTGATTAATTCATTTACATAATTACCAGTCTGTACATACATCTCGATCGAATTGAGGTATGCCGTCATAGCTGCTCTACGATACAAGTCAACCTTCACCTTGAATGTGTCGTGTGATATTGGAAACATAAACATTTACACAAAATGAAAATACGTTTTATTTTTTATAAATTTCCGTATATGTAAAATAGTTAGATTTAGAGATTTTTTAAATGTGCACAGTTCTATAAAACAACGGATCCCGAATAAATTAATTTCTACTTATTTATCACTTATATTGCTCACGAAAGTCGGATCTTTTAAATGGTAAATTTTCATAGCTTTTGGGACGTTGATTTTCTTCCAGTCTGACAAATTTGGTGGCGTTGGGTTGATTTTGAGGCGATTTTTCGGGGACAAGATTAGCTAGCAGTCTAACCCACTGAATCCGAAGCACTTAAATTATTCGCTGAAATGGAATGTTTAGTTCACCCCTAAATTTTATGCCGGTTTGGAGCGTTGTTTTTCTTCAATTGTGACAAAGTTGACAGCGTCGGTTTATTTTTTTCGCGTGACGAGATGAGTTAACACGAGTATATCTGGCGGATGTTGAAATCATGCCCTTCATGCGTACAGACCATGAATCCGAGCCCCTTCTTCCGCGGAGAGTAGTTCAACATGAAAATACAGATTGTAACGGTGCACGCCAGCGCCATAACGATGTACGCGCGCAGCATGTAAATCCGAGCGAAACGACCCTGCGAGACAAATAAGGGTTACAAAGTTCATCTTATGAAATTAATTTAAACTAGTGTTTCATTTCTTGCGTGTTTGCTACATTTCTTGCAGTACAAAGCAAGACATGCAAAGTGCAATAAACTGCAAGAAAGTGTAAGAAATGGCAAGAAATTGCAAGAAACTGCAAGGAACTCAAAGGAAGTGCAAGAAACTGGGAGAAACTTCAAAAAACTGCAAGGAAGCGCAAGAAACTGCCAAAAATTGCAAGAAACTCCAAGGAAGCGCAAGAAACTGCCAAAAATTGCAAGAAACTCCAAGGAAGCGCAGAAACTGTCAAAAATTGCAAGAAATCGCAAGAAACTACAAGAAATGCGCGCCATCTAGCCACGCGCTGTAAGAAATATTTATAGCGGCGGGACGTAGTTTCTTGCGCCTTGCATTTCTCACAGGTCGAAATATTTCCCTGCAAGAAACCACTTTCTCCCCCATCATTTCTTGCAGGTGGTTACTTGCACCCGAAACACTGTTCATTCATTATTATAATTTTCCTCCTTGCTCTTACCGGTGCATCGAATCGTTCCCTCTCCAACAAGACTGGAATCATTGAAAACAGAATTAGACGACGTTCATTCAGCTTCATTTCTTTGTCACTGCGAGATTGCAGAATCTGAAATTAAGAAAAAAAGTATATGAAGGATAACCCTCATTTCATAAACGATAACCTAGTGAAAATTTCATTTCATACCGTCATCATGACGTGCATTGCAATATCGAAGAAAATCCAAAACGTGACGATGACGAAGACGGCCTCCTTCCTCAGATGTCCTCCGGAGAAAGAAAGGACCGAAAAATCTTGGTAGGCCGCGGGTGAGCCGGGAATTGCGTTCGCCGTTATCATGCACGCCACTACGGATTCAGAGGTCACAAAACATTGCAGTTTAGCGATCTTTGATAATCTTCTTATCATTCTGGCAAAAAATTTCCGAACCAGGGAATGAGTGTGTTTTGGGCCAAGACATTTCCGGAAACATTCACAATTTCCCAGAAATACTCAAAAATTCCTTGAGAACTTTCGAAAATAAATTCCCAATTATATTGTCAAGTTTTTCGAAAACTTCGAAAATTGTCGGGAATATTTTAAAAATTCCTTGAAAACTCTCGTAAATTCCCGGTGATATCCACAAACTCTAAAATTCCCGGTATAAATTCCTCCTAAACTTTTGATAATTCCCAATAATATTCACAAATTCCTCCAAAACTTTAGATTTTGCCAGGCTGCTTTTTATATTGACCACTTACGACTCATCCAGTAGAATGCGAGCCCCATGACGCCATGCAAAATGATAACTATTGCCCGAAATTGCCGGTTCAGCGGTCGTATTCCCCCCAGGACGAAGAGCAGGATCGAAATTACGACAGACATCCAACCCATGATGCGATGCGCCAGCCCTGAGCGGCTCAAACTGACCCCTAAAATCGCCTTGCTCCCAATTTGTCGCGACAATCCGACCATGAAGAGAAGGATGGTGATGAAGGAGAGGGAAAGGTGGACCTGTAAATGAATTCACGATGAGCTATTATTTATTATTTCACAAATTCAGTCAATTTAGGTAGGAAACGATAACTTATCGCCAAAATTGTCAAAATCAGCACATTTTTACTCGTTTCTCCGGTCTGGGAATTTATTTTAAAATTATGGACGACAAATTTATAGAGTAGGTTGTTACCAATTTTTTTTTAGAAATGTACACTTCAGATTTTGACACTTTTTGAATGAGATCTTGAATTTAAGAAGCCTTCAGAAAAATTGAAACTGATCGAAACCGGCATAAAAAACTCTACGTCATTCCATTAATTATTTGATTTATTTGTTTATCGTCCAGAATTTTAAAATGAATTCCCAGAGCCGAGAAATGACCAAAAATGTGTTGAATTTGATGATGATTAAACTTGATTAAACCTGCATTAAACTTGTCACTCACAAAGTACCAGACCCGAAGGAGAAAAATCCGACTATTCATGAAGGTCTCTTTGAAATATCGCGTCAAGAAGAAGCTCACCGGCGTCACAAACATGGCAATGATGGTCATAAAAATCCCGTGAATCAGTCTCGTATCCTGTCTCCAAAAAAGAGCATGAAAAATTAGCATAAACCCGAACTCCATAAGTTGTTATCGGGCGCAAGTAACCACTTGGAAGAAATACGGGAAGAAAGCGATTACTAGAAGCTACAAATTTTGACCCGTACGAAATGCAAGGCGCAAGAAACGATACCCCGTCGCCAATTCGCCATACTTCATACAGCGCATCGCCAGATGGCGCATGCATATTTCTCGCTCTTTCTTGCATTCCTTACTTTGCAGTGCAAGAAATGTATGTAGCAAACCCGCCAGAAACGAAACGAAACCTGATGCTCACCCAGATGAAAAGCGTGAACGGATCTTCCGCCACCATCATGCCCCTTTTGTACGCGTTTGTCTTCTTGAAACTTGGCCTTTTCTGTAGTTGTTCTTGGAGTTTTACTGCATATTTAAAAACAAATAAGAGATCACGTGGACAGGGTCAAAATTATGAAATCTCACGTCTATGGGGATGAGTAGGTGCGGTGGTGAAGGGTCTCGGGACGAGGAGGGGACATTTGTTTTTCGTGAGATTCTTCATGTCCTTGGCCAAGTTGCAAAGCAAGTTGTTCTTCGTCTGTTTTTCTACCAAGCTTACTTTGAACGTTTTCCTGGACTGAGTTCTCCACTGGAGATCCACCGTTTTGATGATCCTTCCCAGGGCAGGATCTGCAATTAAGGCATTCTTATGAGAAATCCAGTATTAAAATAATACCAAACGGTATATCTAAATATATTTATGACTCTGCTAATGTGGTATTTATAACTGTGTGCTGATGGATAGGTTGGTATCAAAGGTTTGCCAGTTCGGTAGCAAAGTTTAATACCAAACGTATAATTTTAATACCAACCGGAGCCATTTTTATACCGAGAAATTAATACCTGCTTGACTTTACCAGATTTCTAGCCTGTTACTAGAAATCTTCTTACAATAGGGGTATCCCAGCGAATCCTCTCCGATTTTGAGCAAACTAGTCTCACTGACACTGTGTCAGTCAATCGATCGCAAATTTAATCAGGATGAAATTTGCGAAAGACACGACCTCCAAATGGGCACGTTTCGAAGAGATATTTGCATCGAAAGAGGAGAAAACGCGCAGAAAATTTGGAAAGTGTAAAATTTGTCAACTTTACTGCGCGTTTTCTCCTCTTGGGATGCAAATATCTCGGCCAAACGTGCCCATTTGGAGGTCGTGTCTTTCGCAAATTTCATCCTGATTAAATTTGCGATCGATTGACTAACACTAGTTTGCTCAAAATCTGATAGCATTCGCTGAGATACATCCATCCTCAGTCTAGCCAATTTATGATTTGAATAGAATTTAACAGATCAATTTCATTGGGAGTGTCCAAAATGAAAAAAAAACAACTTAAAGTGAAGTTAAACGTTAAAGTGAAGCTTGTCTACATATGTAATTTTCGCTAGTAAAAATCATTTTTTCGCAAAAAAGCCACATATATTTTGCACGGCTCGACTTACCCAAAGTTGTGTGAGCTCTGTACTGCTGGAAGAATGCATCCCCTGACGGCGGACTGTTGTGGAGACTGCCCACGCCATCGTTGCCAAAGAGGGATGGAAAGCACCGCCCTGTGATGGGGGGCAGTCTGTCGTCATGCTTCGGCCCCCGGATGAAGGTGACATCCTCATTCGCTGATAATTGCGGCACTATCGGTGCCCTCAGTTTGGCGGGGGTCACGGTATCCAGCGGTACTTGGTTTCGCGCGAGGTGCTGGGCGTCCAGACCGATGCAGGTCGCATCGTAGTAGGGGTGAGTGTAACTATTGGCGAAATATACCTAGGGATGTGTTCGGACATGTCATTGACAAATTGACATGCTAATTACAGAGTTGAATATTTAGGTAAAGGGATTTACTTAAAGCCGGACACAATTTGAGGTACAATTTAACTGCGGTAACCCTAACTTTCAATAGAAGAATTGGAAAGTCAGGAGCGTTCAAACGTTGTGGGCAAGCCTTTCTATTTTTGACCTTATGCTTTACAAAAACAATTCAGTAATTTTTGGTAAATTTAAACTTCGAAATTTTAACTTTAATTCCCCTTACAAATTTTCCACAAGGGTGGAAAATTTATAACGCCTTATTGACTATCCATATTTCTTCCTGCAAATCTGGCCATGTTTTCTCGGAGTAACTCCCTCTACCTAAATATCCAACTCTGTGGTTAGATAGAGTTAGAAATGCCCAATTCGTCAGACAAATATGACAAGTCCAAATTCTCATAAATGTCCAATTTATCCGTCATACATATTTGTCATTAATGTCGTCACATTGAAGTTGTATGGTCAAATTGACATTTGTGACAAATATCACGAATATGACAATTATGACATATCTCAGCCTGACACGGACAAGCTCCATCCTTAAAATGTACCTGACTATGGTCCGTTTCGTAGAGGATACAACGCTTTTTGCCATCCACATCTATCCAGTGCTCATACGTGTTTCCTGGGACATCCGGATTATCATGCGCATAGGCCCGCCACGTCTCCCAGTTGAACTCGTTAAGGACGCGTTGTACCGCCGCGAAGTAGTGGGGTTCCGGCTCGTTTTTGATATTCCCGCGGCGCGGGTATTCGTAATAATCGTCCTACGCCGCCCAGCCTGAATTGTCGCCGTGAAAATTGCGCGCGTGATGGGAGAAGGGGACGTCTTGATGCGTCCAGGTGCGTCGAGCCCCGAATTTTTTGCGAATCTCGTCATTCTCGATGGTGTACGCCCGGCCCGAGTCGTTGTACCAGGGTGGGTGGAGGCTGTAGAGTTCTTCGGACGTTGGTAAGGCGTAGATGAACCTGTTCAAAAATTTAGTTTTCATTCAAAATTCAAAAGTCATCCTGATTTCTGCCGGATGATGTTCATTCATATTCAATCATTTTAGTTCAAATTCATTTCATTTCACTTCATCCGACTTCATTTCTTACTTCGCCATATGCATTTAAACATAGGGTGAAAAAATGAATAAGGAGTGAAAAAAATTTCATTCACAGTTATTCATCCGAAATGAAGGAATCCTTCAGTGATTTTCATTCAAATGAGACGAAATTCATTTTCATTCACTATCATAATGAGTCAAATGAATGAATGAAAATGAACAGGTATGGTGGAAGACGAACTTGATGGCGCCGCCGAAGGTCGAGTCTGCCGTGGCGTTCGGGTTGAAGACCAAGTCCGCCCCGGCGGTGATGGAGACGCGATGCTTGTATCTGTTGCCGGGCCACGTGAAGGTGGGAGGGTCAGGGTTCATGATCCATTCGCCTTGCAGGGGGGCGGAGCACGTGACATTTTCCACGCCGCGGGGGACAGGGTCCGCATTTTCGTAGAAGGTCGGTCCGAACATGGGGTGGGTGGAGATGAATACAAACCGGGTGGAGATGGAACGTTGGACCACTGCGAAAGTAGAAACGCTTAGAATGGAGGTCTCCCAGCGTATGCTCTCCGAATTTGGGGAAATTAGTGTCAATCGATCACAAATTTAATTATGATGAAATTTGCGAATTTGGGCACGTTTGGCAGAAATATTCGCATCCAAGGAGGAGAAAACGCGCCCTAAAGTTGGTGTAAAAACCAAGCTATCACCTACCCGGAGTATAGTGTCTTTACGAATATTTAATTGTGCTTTGCTCGTTGGAATTAAAGAAAGTGACTGAGTGAATATACGATTATTTTATCTACTTAAACTAGATTTTATTTAAATCAATTAAACGATGGTCAACACAATTCAGAGCTCTGCACTAACACGAGTTGATTGATGACTTACTTTAATTATAAATTGATCGTGGGCAACAAAAAAGAACTAACAATTCATAAATTTGACTGCCTACCACGACGACTAAATCCAAAATGTCTGACTCTGACAACGACTAAAACTCGACTGTACTGACTATTCCTACTTACTTACTACGACTTAACAAAGAGAGACGCGCACCCAAAAATCCCACCCCCGTCGTCTCCATGGCAACCACCACCACGACAGGGGGCAATTGTAGACGCGTAATCAATGAATTTCATACATAAACTTATTTTACATTTAACATCCTCCCACTTTCTTTTGTGAGAGCAAAAGAACTACCCTAAGAAAAAATCAAAAATATTAAATCCAATTAAAAAATACGAGTAATCTACAAATTCCACTGCGAATATCTAATTGGTTTCTTAGAGATCCTCCCTGATTTGGTCACTATCTCTTCATCGATAGTATCAACTTCCGGTTTATTCTGGACTTGCTTCTTCTTCTTGGAGTCCAGTGAGGGTCTTGAAATAGGTAAAGCGGCTGCCGTAGGGGAAGCGATTTCCAATGGATAGAGTCGTTGCAGTGGTCTCTTGAGTGTTCCTTTCGACGTCTTGACATTCGCAACTCTGCACACTCCGTCCTTCCCTGGAATAAGCTCAAAAATTCGCCCCATCGGCCAGTCAAAACGCTTCTTGTTATCAGCACCGACTAAGACAACATCTCCTACTTGAAGTTGTCGTGCTTTCTTCTCGTTCTGTTTCTGGACCAATTGACCGAGATATTCCTTCCTAAATCTTGCTTGAAGGTCTTGTTGTAGTCTCCTTGTTCTTTTGTAATGAGACTGCAATTCTCTTGATCCGATTTCCATACTTTCAGGAAAATTACACGTTAAAGCTCCTTTCATGAACATTACTGGTGTCAAAGGAATGAGGTCATCTTCATCCTCATTCACGGTTGTCAGTGGACGACTATTGATGACTGCTGCTGCGGAAGAAAGACAGGTCCTCAACTGGTCATAGGTCAGCCTGGCTCGTCCCAGCATCCTCTTTAAAAGATCCTTAATTGATCTGATAAGTCGCTCCCACCATCCGCCCCACCACGCTCCTGTGGGTGGGTTCAAGATCCACTGGATTCTCTTCACTTGACTTTCTTTCTCGATCTTGGTCCAATCCAGTGACTTGAAGAGGTTGACGGCTCCAACAAAATTAGTCCCATTGTCACTATAAATTGTATTGGGACGTCCACATTGGTTAATGAATCTTTCCAAAGATTCCAAAAATGCTTCCGTGCTCAAGGAGGTGATCAAGTCCACGTGTATTCCTCTGAACACAGCACAAGTATACAAAACGATCCACACTTTCGATCCATCTTTAAGGTAGAGTGGTCCAGCCAGGTCAACACCTGTCGTCTGAAATGGCTCGGTCGCAGCGACCCTCTTCTCTGGTAGAGCAGCTTCTTCCACCTCGACCTTCTTTGATTCGAATCTTCTACACGTGGAACAATTATGAATGACACTTCTGATCGTCTTCCTAGCTTGCAAGATCCAATACTTCTCTCGTAACTTCCCCATGATGAACTGAACACCAGCATGACAATAATTCCGATGTGCATCTCGAATCAATTGCAGCACCATCGGATGGGATTTTGGGAGTAACATCGGCATCTTGAACTCTTCAGAATCAATTCGATTCAGTAGTCTTGTCTTCACGTGTAAAAGTCCATCTTCCATTTTCTGAACTTTTACTCCGCCACCAGTCTGGAATTTGTCCACGAAGCTAGCCTGAATTTCTCTCAGCAGCACTATTTCAGCTTCTCTTAATTCCTGGACTGTCAGATAATTCTTCATGATCCTGTCTTCTTTTGGTACACGAGTATTCTCTACAAAACGACGCTGCCAGCCAACTACTGCAACATTCTTCACGTAGGTAGAGAATCTCGGATCTGGAATTATCTCCACGGCGGTAGTACCAGCCAAGTCAACACTGCTGAATTTCTTCATTTCTTGGTTAATTTCCTCCTCGTCCATAACTTCATCTGAGTGAGGCCAAGTTTCTTCTGATTCTTTGAGCCAATCAGGCCCCATCCACCATCCTGACTGTAGCAATTCTCTGGCATTGCATCCTCGTGATGGTAGGTCAGCAGGGTTGAGAAGACCCGGAACATGTCTCCATTTCTTAGAATCCGTATACGTGCAAATTTCTCGTACCCTGTTTCCAACAAAAGTCCCCCAATTGTCGTTACCTCGAATCCACGCCAGCACGGTGGTTGAGTCGCTCCAATATGTAGTGGGGATGGTCTCATAATTGAGTGCACTCTTGACAGATTCACAAAGTCGCACCCCAATTAACGCAGCCATTAACTCGAGTCTTGGAATTGTTGGTTTCTTCAAAGGAGCCACCCTCGCCTTTGCTTGAAGGAGGCTTATCTCCACTTGATCCCCAACTTCGCTGCGAAGAAACACGACAGCAGCATATGCATCTTGACTCGCATCACAAAACACATGCATCTGCAATACACGTGTACTTTCTAATTTCATAAACCGTGGGAGGTGAATTGATTTTAGGTGAGGTAGCTCCTCGCACCATTTCTTGAATTCCTTTGCCTCCTCCACTGGTAACGGTTCATCCCATCCGGTCTTCCTCTCCCACGCCTTCTGTAATAACATCTTCGGCTTTATTAAGGCTGGACAACTGAAACCGATGGGATCGTACACTTTATGAACCATGGAAAGGACGCTCCTCTTGGTAAACTTATCCGGGAGATTGTCCATCTTTATGTCACATGACAGCGTATCTTCATACTTTTCCCAAATTAGACCAAGTACCATTGTTGTAGGGAGTATTCTTGACTCCTGTGGAGTGTCAGTGTTGCCGTCTCCCAATCCGCACCCTCTCATGGCAGGCGAGTCGACTCCGGGAACCCCCACAACACTACACTCCCACTGTCTCAACTCCATCTTCGCTTCTTCCATAATCTTGGTTGAAGTCTCTTTGAATTTTTCATACTCGTCCACGCTGTCGACTGACGTGACACAATTGTCCACGTATAGTGCTCCCATTAATTTCAGGGCTTCTTCTTGTCGTCCATCCACAATTGATGATAGATGCATGTCGACGACTGCTGCAAGCAAGAAGGGTGAACAATTAACACCAAACACAACTCGACAGTGACGGTAGATTTTGATTTTCTTTCCGGAAGGGTCCTCCCACCACAGGAATCTCAAATAATCCCTGTCGGATTCCTGTACGTCTATCATTTGAAACGCCTTCCTAATATCAGAGACGACCCCAATCTTCTTCTCCCGAAATCTGAGTAAAACTGACGGGATGAGTTCCATAAGATTAGGTCCTTTATGAAGACAATCATTCAGAGATGGATATCTTTTTGTCTTGCAAGAGGCATCAAATACAGGTCGCACCGGGGTCGTCACACTTTCCTTGAACACGGGATGGTGGGGCAAGTAGTGGCAGTTTAAGTCATCCAAATGATACACGTTTACTTCCTCCACTATTCCCTCTTCCTTCCACGATTTGAAAATGTTCCCGTATACGTCAAACTTTCCTGTACTTAGTAATCTCCTTGTTGTTGACTGGAGTCTATTCTCTGCCACCATCCTATTGTTGGGAATATTCTTCTCTTCACCAATCCATGGTAGGCCAACTGAATAACGTCCATCAGCTTGACGAGATACTGTCTCTGCAAAATGCTTCTTCGCTATCAACTCTTGATCCAACTTCGATTTCACCTCGATTGGATCCTTAATGCCGAGTGCTTCCAATGTCCACATTTCCTGCACGTTTTCTTCAGTCGTGAACATGGAGATCGATTCATTCAGCACACTGTTAAACTTTGGAACTGGACCGCTCAGACTCCATCCAAAAATTGATTCACACGCGACGAGCCCACATCGTAACTTGATCATTCTTCCTGTCATGATGCTTCCCCACAGGTCGCTTCCTATTAGAATCTGAATGTCTGGTTCGGCGACTTGATGACGAGTCCGAGAGCAAGATCCCCTTGGCTTTCAACTCTTGAATCCATGGACCATTTTGAACTCTTGGCACTATCCCTCCAATAATTGGCTTCTCTCTCAAAACCACTTTGACTTCATTTCTTCCGTACAGACTTCGGAGCAAAATTTGATGCTTATAAACTTGCCCAACATCAGTAACGGAACCATCGAACAGCACATTTCTGGAGAATTCTGATCCCATTGGCTTGCTTCTGATGGCTTTTGCAGTGCTGTAGGTTATATAGCTTCTTTGACTTCCTTCGTCGAAAAGCAGCCTGACAACACGATCTTCTTTCTTTTCTTGACAGCCGACTTTCACTAGCACTGTCTTCAACAAAACATCACTCTGGCATTGGATGTTTGTTTGAGCTGCATCGGTGGAAATAAGCGTGTACGAGTTGTCCTGTTGATCATCCTTCTCGACTTGAGAACACATTACTTCATGATGATTACTCTTGCACACACGACATGACACCGACGCTTTACACTTCTTCGCAATATGACCCCTTCCTAGGCAGATGAAGCATCCCTTATTTTCTTTAACCAGGATCTTCTTCTCCTCGAGTGGCATCTTCTGCGCTTTGAAACACTTCTGGTTTTTGTGGTTAGATTTTCCACAAAAAACGCATTGTTCAACTTGTTGACCTGAATAGAGGCCGGCATCAGTGGGGAATTCTTCATTCTTCTCCAATTGACCCTTCTTCTTGTTCTTTTCTTTTCCCTTGATGGCTGCATCGAAGCCGGATCGCACCAACTTTCTATTCTCCTCGCCCTCCACTTCTTCTCGAAGAAACTCCATTAGAAAATCCAATTCATTTTTCTTCGGGTTAAGCTGTGACCCATCTTGTTTGCGAAGAGGACTTCTTTGCCAAACGAGTAGGATTTCTTCTGGGAGGCAGGATTGCACCATAGGAAACAGGAACTGGGTCGACTGCTCCGCCTTAATTCCTAAAGACTCCAATGCCCTTAATTGAGTCTCGATGTCATCATAAAGTTTGGAGAGCACGACTACTTCCTTTGATTTTGCGGTTGTGATAACCAGCCGAAGTAGTTCTCTCACATACACTTGCTGAAGGAACTTCTCTTTCCCAAATCTTTCCTTCAAAGCGATGACGGCCTTTGGGTAGTTTTCTGTCGTCATTGGGAAGCTTTCGACCAGTCCACGTGCCCTTGACCCAGATACCGTACTCTGTAGTAGGTACTGGAATTTGTCACTTGCATGTAGTTCATCATCTTCGTCGATCTTCCTAAACTGCGACCACCATCCCAGCCATTCCTTTGTATCACCGCTGAATTTCTGAAGTTGAATCTTGGGAAGTTTAAAAGTCCTATTTCTTCTTACACGTTCACCGTTCGCTGTGGTATAACTGCTGGCAGGACTTGGGCTTAGTGGACGGATTTCTGCATCAAGAACCTTTTCAATTTTCAAAATAGCTACACTAATTTTGTCTGAATATTCTTCATTTGCTGCACTTTCTTCCGTATAAGCCTCCGCCATACAGTTATCATCCAACATCTGGGTGAGCACTTTTTCATCATGTTCTCTGATCGTCGTCTGCAGAGATTGCAATTTTCTGAGCCTGATGGTAAGTTCCATTGTATCCTTCGGATCCTTCGCCAACTCAGCAACTGCTCCATCAATTGTCTTTGTAATCGAAGCTCGAACAGGAGTCCTCGCCTTCTTCAGTCGATCCATGTTGATATCTCGAAGTCAACAAACAAAAACAATTAGAACAGTACACGTTAATCAACTCAATCAGCAACAACGCCGACCTCTATGGCTCCCGAACGCTCAGGATGGGGCCCTCAAAAGAGGCAAGACAGTAATTGAGTAATAGACGAATAAAGTTGAAGTTCCTCTCGGGTCGGACACGCCGATTTCAATCTGGTCGGTCACTCCTTCCTCACGGACTACTTCACAGCAACAATAAAAACTTGAAAGGTATCACCTGAACAGCCCCCGAATACTCAGGGTCGGGTCCTCAATGAGGCAAGGCTTGATGTGAATCCTCGATAATGTAATGTAAAAACCACTAATGTAAAAACCAAGCTATCACCTACCCGGAGTATAGTGTCTTTACGAATATTTAATTGTGCTTTGCTCGTTGGAATTCAAGAAAGTGACTGAGTGAATATACGATTATTTTATCTACTTAAACTAGATTTTATTTCAAACAAATTACTAATTGTCAACACAATTCAGAGCTCTGCACTAACACGAGTTGATTGATGACTTACTTTAATTATAAATTGATCGTGGGCAACAAAAAAGAACTAACAATTCATAAATTTGACTGCCTACCACGACGACTAAATCCAAAATGTCTGACTCTGACAACGACTAAAACTCGACTGTACTGACTATTCCTACTTACTTACTACGACTTAACAAAGAGAGACGCGCACCCAAAAATCCCACCCCCGTCGTCTCCATGGCAACCACTACCACGACAGGGGGCAATTGTAGACGCGTAATCAATAAATTTCATACATAAACTTATTTTACATTTAACAGTTGGAAAGTATAAAATTTGTCAACTTTAGGGCTCGTTCTCTCCTCGTCGGATGCAAATATCTCTGCCAAACGTGCCCATTGGGAGATCGCGTCTTTCGCAGCAAATTTCATCCTAATTAAATTTGTGATCGATTGACACTAGTTTCCTTCAAATTCGGAGAACATACGCTGGGAGACCTCCATTGTCAGTTTTCTAAATGCTCGAGACTTACTGAAAATTTTGTCGGCATGTTTCGGATAGGGCGGGTAAGGTGGATTGTCCCATATGTTAGCCTTCGCCACGATGCCGTTCACCCTGTAATGTTACACCCGCCAAAATCATCCGATAAGTGCTTATGTATGCATGTGGTAACCAGTGGCCGCGGAAGGGTATGGACAGAGGGACAATGTCCCTACAGTTATTCGATGTAACCATCATCTCCCCATGTTCTGTAAACCCCGCCCTCCCCCATCCTACAATATTAATCTCCCCAGATGTCCCCACACCTGCCGCGGCCAGGTCACTGATGATAACTCTACTCACACAAAGTCCAGATCGTAGTAGTGGTTGCTGAATGAGTTGTCCAGCCTATAGTTGAGATGGATTTCGGTCAAACCATCCTTATTCAAATGGGTCTTGCCATACTTGGTCCGGGTGAAGTTGTCGGCTGTCCGCGTGTAGTAGAAATTATTTCCGTACTGATAAGGAGAGTGACACATTTAAGCCTAATGACAAATTCTGACCCAGTAGCCGCGGAAGGTGTACGGACATCTGGGGACATTAGGGGAGGGAGGGGTTGATATAACATGGTGCCGACATCGAATAACCGTGGGGACATTGTCCCTCTGTCCCTACCCTTCCACGGCCATTGTTCTAACCGGAAGTATTTCCTACTCACCACGGCCTCTCCGTACTGCACCACGCCACACGGCATGAACTGCTGCGTCACGTATTCCTGCGTATATCCGGTCTCTGCACAGTTAGGAAAATCCTGAACGAACTGACCAATTCCGCCGACCCAGGAGCGTCGTATGATTCCTTGTACTGCAAAAGAAAGATTATTCAAGTTAAGGTTTCCATTATTTGGGTGTTTTCGATTTGAATTTTTGTATCTCAACTTTCACTTTCCCTTCATATTCAAATATCGATCTTGAAACGTGTTCATCTCCGTGCGTTTATAAAAAATTTTATTGCAAATCATGGCAAATTTTATTGCAAATTATGGCAAATTTTATTGCATCTAAAAATCGATAATTTTTAGCTTTGCAAAGTTAGGAGGGCAAAATTTGAATTCTTTTCTTCCAGGAGAAAGTATTTAATATTTATTTTTGAACTATTTTTTCATGTAAGAAATAAGTCAAAATTCTAACCTCCTAACTTTACAAACCTAAAAATTATCGACTTTTAGATCCAATAAAATCACCATTTTTTAAAAAACGCCTGGCGATGAAAACGTTTCAAAATCGCCATTTGAATACATTCACGAAGGGAAAGTTGAGACACAAAAATTAAAACTCAAACCCGCATGCACTGGAACCTTAAGCGTCCTGACTTAGCGGTTATCTCCTCACCGTTTATGGCGCGCGGTTTCCCCGAGGTGGCCATCCTTCCTCGCGCCGTAACCATCAACTTGTCAACCACACTGTTGTTCAGAACTTCAGCGACGCGCTTGCGATCTATGACCGGGACAGGGCTGGTGGCGTTCAGCGTGAAGACGTTGTGATCCACGTCCAACGTGATTTTGAGGTGGAACCAGCCTTTTAAAGTTAAATGCCATCAATATTTAAAATTTTTTTAACTACGAATTGTCAGTGTTTCGTGTTGGAGTTTGCTACATTTTTTTGCACTGCAAAACAAAGTGCAATAAATATGCGCCATCTAGACACGCGGCGTATGAAGTATTTTTTTGCGCCTTGCATTTCTTGCAGGTCAAAATATTTACCTGCAAGAAACCACTTTCTTGCAGTTATTTCTTCCAAGTTGTAACTTCCACACGAAACACTGATCATTATAAAAGCGTTGCATTAATTGTCACCCTTGAGAAACCTCCCCCTGCTCTTGATTCCGGTAACGTCCACGCGGAAGATGTACCCTGTTGGGTAGTTATCGTTCTCGTTGTGTTTCGCCATGTGGATGACTTCGCCCATCGACAAGCCGGACATGCTCCATCTCGGAAACCAGTTCCAAGCAGTGGGCTCTCCCAACCAGAAGCGAGAGTGGGGTGTCCGGTAACCAGCATCCTTTGAAACCTTATCCGGCCGATCAGGTTGTAACTCTGGATAAAATAGTGTCATTTTTAATGTGTTTCCTCATTTATAATTAATACTTAATCACTCAATTAATGAGCGTCAAAATCAGCATATTTTAATTCATTTCTCGGTTCTGGGAAATTATTTTAAAATTCTGGACGACAAAATTTGTAGTCAGTGAGTTGATTTATGGAATTGTGGTGAGTTTTTTTAGCCAGTTTCGACGAGTTCCAATTTTTCTGAAGGCTTCTTAACCTTGAGATCTCTTTCTTCAAAAAGTGTCAAAGTCTGGAGTGTATATTTCTGAAAAAATGACAACGACTTACGATAAATTTGTCGTTCAGGATTTTAAATTAATTCCCAGAGGCGAGAAATGATTATCGAATTTGTAGAGCAGGGAGTTGCCAATTTAAAAAAATGCATACTCTAGATCTTGACACTTTTTGGAGGACATCTCAAGTTTAAGAAGCCTTCTTAAAAATTAGACCTCATGGGCTAAAAACGCACCGCAATTCCATCAATTAATTCACTGACTACAAAATCGTCCAGAAATTTAAAATAAATTCCCAGAGGAGAGAAATGATTAAAAATGTGCTGATTTTGACGACGAGTCATCGAGTTCTACGCGTTAACTCTAACCCCACTCCAAACTTACTTAGATCTCTGTCCACCTTAAGTCGCGGATTGGGGACGTTGGCGCAGAAATAATGTGGGTTAAAATTCCCCTCGTGGTCGCTGCGGAAAAAGTCGTACCACTCCATCATCCACTTCCCGTCATGGAAGGAGTTGGTGGCAACCCTGCGAAAAATAAAAGTCGCCGTCAAGAGGGTGGGCAAAATATTGGCAAAATTATTTTGCCAATATTTTGCCAAAATATAGTATTTTGAGCTCCGTTTTTCCCAGGGTTTGGAGTTCCGGGGCTGTTACACCCACAAAAAGACGAAAATCTACGTGGGGAAGGGCAGCAGTCATACGAAAATACGGGTTTTGTGAAGAAATTAACTTTTATCGCTGCAGAAATACATTATTTTCACGATTTTATTAAAATGAAGTATTTTGACAGCGATAAAAAGCTCATTTCTTGATAAATCTTATATTTTCATGGGGCTGCTGTCTTCTCCGCGTGGATTTTCGTCTTCTTGTGGGTGTGACAGCCCCGGAAATCCAAACCCTGGGAAGAACGGAGCTCAAAATACGGTATTTTGAAATTCTACTTACGCCGGAACTTTGGCGAGGCAGGTGACAAGTCTGAATTTTTCAATGTTATCGTTAACGTCACCTTGATTCCTGTCGAGGTCAATGTTGTCTGGATCAATGTTGAAGAGGGGGAGGTCCCAGATCTTGGCGAGGTCCTCCAGATACGTGTACAGTTGGGGGGAAACGTCGCCGACTTGCACGGTCACTAGAAGGAGGACAAACGTCGCCAAGGTCGTGGTGGAAAACAGGGGTCGCGAAATAGGCGCCATACACAATCTGGGTCAGACGGAAGACTGTTAGTTTTGTGTAATATCGATAAGTTTGGAACGTTTCGTTCGAGAGTGTGATGGTAAATTTTCTGGAAACTTGACATTTTTTGTCAAAATTCCATTGTTTGTTGATAAATCAGGTTGAGTGACTATGGCACCGCGGCCTTTTTTCCATCAAAACGGAGATCGTACCGAGCTTGTTATCATTTTGAGTGGTAGAAATTTTCAATTGTTGTCGGTGGTGGGTGAAACTTTTGATTTAAAAAATCGGATTCGGAGCAGAACATGATGATTGATGATATGATGACGAAATGACGATGAAGTCTTTCGGGCGTTTGATCGTAAAGTTGTCCATGAAAGGCGAATTTGGAATGATTAGATACAAACAATGGAGTCAACAATGGATTATCGTACATTGTTTTCTCCATTGTTTTCGAAATCCATTATAGATTTCGGACTATTTCGGAGTGGAGGAAGAAAACATGTGAGATTTTACTGAAGTGAACGGCTCCAATAAATATTATTATTTATTTTCCGTTTGTTTTTATTTTGACGTGCCACTTATACAATTTCGGTCTAAACTTTGGGGGGGGCATTAGCTTTGTTGGATTGAAGGATGACAGACTTACTAAAATGGGAAAGGTGCGATTTTGTTGAATTTCTGCGGGAACAATGTACCCTTGCTGCCATCATCAATGGCCGCGGAAGTGTGGGGACAGAGGGACAATGTCCCCACGGTTGTTCGATGTCCGCACCATCTGCCCATCTTATATAAACCCCGCCCTCTCCTATCCTGTAATGGGAATGTCCCCAGATGTCCCCACCGCTTCCGCGGCCACTGTCAATGCCCAATGTTCCTCATGCTAACTAGTCATAAATCAATTACACCATGTATTTATGGTAGTAATTTTAACGTTCATCATCACTGTTTTCGTGAGAAATGACAACACACAGATTGCAAAATTAATTTGACATATTTTAAAGGTTCGCCAAAAAGTCTGACCCTGTATTGACCAATTCGCCATCATAATTACGAAAATACGTACATACACATTCTATTTTTATCGTCATCGTGTCACATGTCGAATAAAATTCTCAGAGAAAAATGTTAATCTGTACTACAAAAAAATGTAAATGTAAATGTTATCATTTATTAAATATTTTAATATGCGTATCATTTAAAATCCTCCCTCGCTAATGCTTGTAATTTTTGATTACGTGACTCCAGAGGACAGAAACCATGGCCTGATTGTCCTTTATTATCGGGATCATGCCCCCAAAGAGTGGTCACTAATTAATTGCAGGTGGTGTGGCACGTATTCGGTGCAGGTGTGCCCAATTTTTACTTATTAGTCATGCACTGGTGACAGTGGCCGCGGAAGCCGTGGGGACATTAACATTGCAGGATAGGGGTTTGTATAAGATGGGCAGATGATCCGGACATCAAACAACCGTGGGGACATTGTCCCTCTGTCCACACCCACCCTTCCGCGGCCACTGAATACCCACGTCCAATTAATTGCAATATAAATAAATTGCATGATAAGGTCACATTTTATCCCGATAAGTGGTTTATGTACAAAACAATAGAAATACGTATGCTGTCCACACCACGAAAGCACTTGTAGTACACATAAATACTTGTGCATATGATTCACAAAGGACGGGAAAAAGATAACACATTATTGATGGGTTATCTAGATATAACTGACAATTAGTTACAAAGATAACGCAATAATGTGGTGGTGACTTGTCTGCCAAGAAATTTGAGATTAGTGTTGACTGGTCAGGGTTTCATTTCATTGTGTATCATTAGATTGGAGAGGAAAGTCTGCCACACATTGGACGTATGGTAAATTAAAGGAAAATTTGAGCATTTAAGAAATTTTGAAATTTTTTCTGCGTAAATTTGGACAAGATTTCGATACAAATTGTTCTGTACTAAAAATTCTTAGAGAAAAAATATGTGTTTCAAAACTTTTTCCGTACCAGATTTCGATGTAATGATTGAAAAATTGTAGCGTTCTTATCGAAAATATGTCGTAAATTTTCAGAAAACTCAGATTTTGATAATTATAAAGATTTCTAAATTGTCTTCTTAACCAAAATATCTTCAAAATTTCCAGACCCCAAAAAAAACATGAAGACAATCTTGCTTCTCGGCGTGGTCCTGCTTGTCACTTGCGTCCTCGGACATGACGTGGAATTGGGGGGACATTGCGACGAATCTGGCGAAGGGGAGCACGACCACTCCCTTTTTTGCAACCCCAGCCTGAACTTGGTCTGCGTGGCGAATTTCTGCGTCTGCAGCGAGGGACATGTTCCGGAAACTGACGATGGAACTGCCCGCGGTTGTGTCGACCCCAACCCTACGACGACCCAGGGGGCTGCCACGCTTAAAGTTAGCGCCGCTGTTATCTTTACTGTGGGAGCGGCTGTCTTTAAGTATATTTTTGTATAATAGTTGTTAATTTATTAGTTTGATTAATTAAAATTGAATGATTAATTGGGTAGAGAAAAATTGTGTTTTATTATTTCTAAAAAGAACTAATAAATTAATTTGTTGATATTTTTTTCATGTTGAAAGACCGATTCTTTAAAAGTAAGATTTAATCCGATACTTGAGCGTGCTAAAAATTCAGCGAATTCCAGGCGCCGGAAGTTCCGCTCGAGGAGCGTTTTCGCGGAATTGCGGCGCTCATAATTTTGCGCATCTGCCCAATTGTCGCACTAAAAATTGTTTGTAAAGAGTTGAAAATAACCTGGCTGAATACAGTTTGTTTTTGCGTGGTAAATTTTCTTACTAGAACATTACTAAAACGGTAATTCCAGTTATTACCGGGCCGGTAGAGTCGTATAAATATGTACCCCGGTTAATACCAGTTTTCTATTTAAGAGTGCATGCAGTATTTAATCATGATCAGGTAAACATTAACATTCCGTATTATTTTTATCACGCTCATGCTCTTAAAGAGTGGTCACTAACTAGATACGTGTAGTCGGTGCCGTTGTGCCAAATTTTTACGCATTAGTCATCCATGCCCACATTTTATTGATGAACACGTAGAATTCCAATATAAATAAATTAGCTGCATGATTGATAAGGTCGCATTTTGTACATGGATGATGCACCACAATAGAAATGCTATGCTTTCCATGCAGATAATTCAAATTAAAAAAGTACTACTACATAAATAAATAGTTGTGCATATGCTTCACTAAGGGATGGAAAAGATAACACAATATTGATGGGTTATCTACTGAGGATAACCTAATAGTGGTGACTTACCAAGAAATTTTGTCTGGTCAGGGTTTCATTACGTGCGTATCATTCATCACCCAAGTCCAGATCGGGGAGGAAAGTCTGCTTTGTCACAAATTATAATAAGGTATCGGAAAATTCGAGTTTTTAAAAATTTGCATTTTTCACTGTACCCAATTTAATAAAATTTTGAGATAAATCTTGTTCTTTACTAAAAATTCTTATCGAAAATTGGCTTTTAGACATTCTTTTCCGTACCAGATTTTTATACGAAAAATGGATAAATTGTTGTCTATTTAACGTAAATATTTTAAAAATAAATAAACAAATTTGATGTAAAGATTCATCAATTTTTGCGTTCTTATTAAAAATTTAGAACACAAAGATTGATAAATGGCTGCGTTCTTATAAAAAAATCAATTTTTGCGTTCTTATTAAAAATTTAGAACACAAAGATTGATAAATGGCTGCGTTCTTATAAAAAAATCAATTTTTGCGTTCTTATTAAAAATTTAGAACACAAAGATTGATAAATGGCTGCGTTCTTATAAAAAAATATTTTCAAAATTTTCAGAAAAAATACATATAAACATGAAGACAATCTTGCTTCTCGGCGTGGTCCTGCTGGTCACTTGCGTCCTCGGCCATGACGTGGAACTGGGGGACATTGTGACGAATCTGGTGGTGGGGACGACCATTCCATGTTTTGCAATCCTAGCCTGAACTTGGTTTGCGTGGAGAATGTGTGCATTTGCAGCGAGGGTTATGTTCCAGAAACTGACGATGGAACTGCCCGCGGTTGTGTAGTCGACGTTACCACCGCGCCTACGGTCGCGCCTACCGCTGCCCCAACGACCGCTCCCACAGGCGCCCCCACGACCGCGCCTACGGTCGCGCCTACCGCTGCCCCAACGACCGCTCCCACAGGCGCCCCCACGACCGCGCCTACGGTCGCGCCTACCGCTGCCCCAACGACCGCTCCCACAGGCGCCCCCACGACCGCGCCTACGGTCGCGCCTACCGCTGCCCCAACGACCGCTGCCCCAACGACCGCTCCCACAGGCGCCCCCACGACCGCGCCTACGGACGACCCCACGACCCAGGGTGCCGCCACCCTTAAAGTTAGTGCTGCTGTTATTTTTACCGTGGGGGCGGCTGTCTTTAAGTATATTTTTGCATAATTGTTGATAACTTTTTGCTTATTTATTAAATAAACACATTTATGGTTTACAACTTACTGAAATCACGTTTTACAAAGTTTTTTTTGCAACTCGTCGCAAAAATTTGCAAACAGGTTACAAAAGTACACATGTTATAAATTTATGAGTAACAAGTAAATATGTCTCTTTTTTGCGTAAAATTAAAAAATTCCCCTCCTCCGGAGATGTTTTATAAAACCTTCAAAAATGAATCAATCATTCACCAGCAATGTCACATTTCTCATAAACATTACATAAAAATCTCACAATCTCATATTCCCCCAAAACACAAAATCTCACTTTATCAAACTCACATTCCTCAGAATTAAAATTAATCATTAGAAATCTCACTTTAATAAAAATCTCAATCTCAAATTCCCTAAAAATACATAATCCAATCAATCTAACAATCTCACATTCCTCAAAATTGAAAATCTCACAATCCTAAATTCCCCAAAATTACATAATCCATCTCAAAATCTCACATTCTTCAAAATCAAATCAACATCTCTCTTTTCACAAAAATCTCACAATCCCAACCTCCCCAAAAATACATAATCCAGTCCATCTCAAAATCTCAACTTTCCTCAAAAAATCTCACAATCTCACCTTCCCCCACCTCCTCAAAATCTCATCTCACCTCATCTCATCTCACAATCCCCAGAAACGTCGGTTCATTTCACGACACGAAAAATCCTGTCCTCGCTCACTAACTTTTTAGACAACAAAGACTTTAGTGGCCCTTCTTCGTCGTGTGGACGTAAAAGCGAGCACCAAAAGCAAGCACCCACCACCACCAACCACGGCTGCTTTTGCCCACTTTTACTCAATGCGAATGAATATTCTTCTCAGCCACACACACTTCGCATCTGACTTTGCTTCTCGATCTGACTGACGTAAACTTTCTCGAAAACGTTTTTTTTTTACGAAATTTCGTAAATTTCTGAACATAAAAAAGTGCAAATTTCCACATTCCACACAAAAATGATCATACCTTCCGACACGGGGGCAAAACTGCTCGATTTCACGCAACGGTTAGACATCGACTTGTTGGATCATGTCGTGTCCTGCATGTATGGAGGGACGGGGGAACAGGTGAGTTAATTAGGGTTAAAGGTCGTTAATTATGGTTAGTTAATTGTATCTTGTACTTTTTGTTGTAGCAAAAACTAGCCCAGGAAATTTTAACGACGTTGAAAAATCACCCCGAATCCTGGACCAGGGTCGACACTATTTTAGAATACTCACAAAATCAGCAGACGAAATATTATGCGTTACAAATATTGGAGCAGGTTATCAAAACGAGGTGGAAAGCGCTGCCGAGAGTGCAGTGTGAAGGGATTAAGAAGTTTATTGTGGCGCTTATCATTAAGACGAGTTCTGTCCCCGGCGCGTTGGAGGGGGATCAGAGGGTTTATGTTAATAAGCTTAATATTATATTAGTACAGGTGAGTAGTAATTAATTTGCAGGGTGGGGAAAGTATTTAGTGAAATTACGGTATTTTGAGCTCTGTTATTATCAAGGTATTGATTTCCTGTGGTGTTACACCCACAAAAAGCGAAGAATCTACGTGGAGAAGGCAACAGTTGTACGAATATACGGGTTTTGCGAAGAAATTAAATTTTTATAACGGTCAAAATACATATTTGCACGATTAAAAAAATAGAGTATTTTGACGTATAAAAAGCAAATTTCTTCACAAAACATGTATTTTCGTATGACTTTTGTAATCTCCACGTAGATTCTCGTATTCTGTGGGTGTAACAGATGTGTAAGTCCAAACCCTGGGAGGAACCGAGCTCAAAATACTGTATTTTGACAAAGTATTTTGCCCCACCTCTGTCCAAATTAATAATTTATAACTTCATAAACTAATAATTTAATAAGCCATAAAGTTTGCAAAATTTTAATTTGGTAATAATTTGTTTGTCCAGATCTTAAAAAGAGAATGGCCGAAAAACTGGACCACCTTCATCCCCGATATTGTCGGCGCTTCGAAAACCAACGAATCCCTGTGTCAGAACAACATGGCGATTTTAAAACTTCTCTCGGAGGAAGTGTTTGACTTCTCTTCCGGCCAGATGACCCAAACCAAGGCGAAACACCTCAAAGACACAATGTGCCAAGAATTCTCCCAAATTTTTAACCTTTGTCAATTCGTTATGGAAAATACGACCAGTCCTGGCCTCGTGTTGGCCACGTTAGAAACTTTGTTGCGATTTCTAAACTGGATTCCATTAGGGTATATATTTGAGACTGAGTTAATCTCCGTGTTGACAAAGAAGGTGAGTTATTATTTAACGTAGGACTTGATAACAGATCACAAAATCATTAAAACCAATATATTTTTAATCATTTCTCGACTCTTGGAATTTATTTTGATATTTTTGGAGAGAGATATATAGTCAGTAAGTCGATTAATAGAATAAAGGTGAGTTTATTAAGCTGGTTTCAATGAGTTCCAATTTTTCTGAAGGTCTCTTAAATTTGAGATCTCCTCTTTCAAAAACTTAAAATTTGGAGTGTATACTTATAAAAAACACTGGCAACTACTTGTGCTACAAATCTGTCGTCCAGAATTTTAAAATAAATTCTCAGAGCCACGATACGAGTAAAAATGTTTTGATTTTGATGATTTTGGTGATAAATTATCCATGCATACGTTAATTATATCATATATCGTTAATTAATTACCCTCAAATTGAAACTAATTTAACATTTAACTATTGTTCATTTCCAGTTCCTCTCTTCTCCTCCGTTTCGTAACCCGACGTTGAAATGTCTCACGGAAATTGCCTCCGTCACGGTGACAAATTATGACCCCAAATTTATCCAGCTTTTCACCCAAACAATGTCCGAACTGGAAACGATGATCCCCCTCTCGATCAACATTCGCGAAGCGTATTCCCGTGGGGCAGACAAGGAGCAGCAATTTATCCAAAATCTGGCCATGTTTTTGTGCACCTTTCTTAAAGAGCATGGTCAACTGGCGGAGTCACAGGCGCCCGACGTGCTTGTCAAGGGGTTGCAATACCTCGCATTAATTTCTGAGGTAGACGACGTTGAGATTTTCAAAATCTGCTTGGAATATTGGAACGCCTTGGCGAGTGAGCTGTATAGGTGAGCAGGTTTTTAAGTAATAATGGAGGTCTCTTAGCGTATGCACTCAGATTTTGAGCAAATTAGTGTGAATCAATCACAAATTTATTTAATTAGTATTAAATTTGCAAAAGGCACGTTTTGCAGAGATATTTGCATCAGAAGAGGAGAAAACGCGCCATAAAGTTGACAAATTTTGCACTTTCCAAATTTGCTGCCCGTTTTCTCGTCTTCGAATGAAAATATCTCTGCCAAACGTGCCCATCGGGAGATCGTGTCGTTTGCAAATTTCCTATTGATTAAATTTGCTACAAATTGACAATAATTTGGTCAAAATCGGACAGCATAGCATACGCTAGGAGATCTCCATTGAGTGCGTTTTTCTTTCACAAAATCTAATTCAAATCCAAATTGTAACACTAAATTGTATTTACAGGGAAACCCCCTTCCCCACATCGCCCACGCCCCTCTTCTTAACACCAATCCAACCCTCTTCCACTTCGTTTGAGTCGAATCGCCGCATTTTCTATGCCCCTCTCCTCTCCAGAGTTCGATTCACAATGATATCTCGGATGGCAAAACCGGAAGAAGTTCTTGTCGTGGAGAACGAGCATGGCGAAGTGGTCCGAGAGTTCATGAAGGATACAGATTCGATCAACTTGTACAAAAATATGAGAGAAACGCTCGTCTACTTGACCCACTTGGATTGTTCGGATACTGAGAAAATTATGACGAAAAAATTGCAAAATCAAGTCAACGGAAGCGAGTGGAGTTGGAAGAATTTGAATACGGTGAGCAAAAATTAAAATTCGTGGGTTTAATTTCTGTTTTTTTTTATAAAAAAAACGGGAGTTACTGGAGAGACAAATTCCCGTAAAAAAACGGACCATAAAAAAGGTCCTCAATCGGCAAAGGGCCATTTTTCCGGTTCTTATGCCGTCTTCCTGATAAACGCGTCACGTTTGCATAACAAATTGAACCCACGAAACTAAATGACAACGTCAAACTTTAAACTAATTGATAACCTTAAACTTTAAATTAATTAACTAATTATTATTTCGTTCATAGCTCTGCTGGGCAATCGGCTCCATTTCTGGCTCTATGCACGACGAGGATGAAAAGCGCTTTATCGTAACCGTGATAAAGGATTTGCTCGGGCTGTGCGAGCAAAAGAAGGGAAAAGACAACAAGGCCATCATCGCCTCCAACATCATGTACGTCGTGGGACAATACCCCCGCTTTCTCCGAGCTCATTGGAAATTTCTTAAAACCGTGGTCAACAAACTCTTCGAATTTATGCACGAGACTCACGACGGAGTGCAGGACATGGCTTGTGATACTTTTATCAAGATTGGTACGTCCCTCAAATTGTTAAATTCAAGAACATTTAATTTATAATTGTTTGATATCCAGCTCAAAAGTGTCGCCGCCACTTTGTAACCGTACAAATGGGAGAGATTTGTCCCTTCATCGAGGAAATTCTGACGACAACATCGACCATAATTTGCGACTTGATGCCGGGACAGGTGCACACATTTTATGAAGCCGTTGGTTACATGATCTCCGCCCAGACGGACAGTATCGTGCAGGAGGCGTTGATAGAGAAATACATGGCTTTGCCGAATCAGGTGGGTTAATTGTTTGTCATAAATAATTAACAAAACAATTAGTTAAATGGAAGGAAATTAACAATAATTGAATTTTGCACAGGTTTGGGATGAAATAATTAGCCAGGCGGCCACCAATGTCTCCGTTCTCAAAGAAATTGAGTGCGTTCGCCAGTTGGGAAGCATTTTAAAGACGAATGTCCGTGCGGTCAAGTCGTTGGGACATGTTTACGTTGTGCAGGTAAATTTAACGGTTATCCAACTAACTTTGTAAGCTTTGTTAAATTCGCATTTTTTGGTTTTTATAATCTGGGGACAAATTCAGTTTACAAACTGTACCAATTTTTACCATGTTTTTTTATTGCCTTTATGACTAACAGTTTGGGAGCTGATTTCTTGCTTGAAGAAGTTTGCTCTGCTTGCTTTCTCCCCCTGCCTGAAGAGTCCTCATTTTTTGACGGCGGAATAATTTTGTTAGGTTGGCTAAGTCAGTCAAACTTTTATTTATTTCCTGCCTGGAGTGTCTTTTCGGTAATCGCCGAAAGCCTCTTGTCACTTTTTTGTGGCGGAAGACATTGTTTGATCGGCTAAGTCGGTCAAACTTTTCTTCCTTGTCCGGACTTCTGGGGGCTAAGTCACCAGAGGTCCGAAGCGTTCTTCTGGCGGCTAAGTCGCCAAAAGTTCGAACCATTTCTCCGGACATTGCCATTTTTTGCCCAGTTCCTGGAAGGTATGATTTTTTAAATTTGCAAAGTTTTTATTATAATCAGCTTACAATGGATGCCACTCAGCTTCAGATTTTGACAAAACTAGTGTCAATCGATCGCAAATTTAATTAGGATGAAATTTGCAAAGAAAACAATCTCCCAATGGGCACGTTTGGTCGAGATATTTGCATCCAAAGAGAAGAAAGCGTGCACTAAAGTCGGCAAATTTTACACTTCCAAAATGACTACGTACTAATTAAATTTGTGATCTATTGACGCTAAATCATAAAAATCTTTGAACATACGTTGGGAAACCTTCATTCTTAGGATTAGTTTACGAGCATGAGGTTAACTCTCCCATTTAGTTAAATGGTTTACTAACTAACAAATTATTTGTCTTAATTATTAGCTCGGCCGCATTTATCTCGACATGCTAAACGTGTACAAAGTGATGTCGGACAACATCACGACCGCGATTGGCACCTACGGCGAGTCCGTCACGAAGCAGCCGATCATCAAAGGGATCCGTGTCGTGAAGAAGGAAACTCTCAAATTGATTTCGGGCTGGATCTCACGTTCCAATAATCCACAAATGGTCCTAGAAAACTTTATTCCTCCCTTGTTAGACGCCCTCCTGCTCGATTACCAGCTCTGCTCCGTTCCCTCAGCCCGTGAACCGGAAGTACTGACCACCATCGCCGCCATCGTGAACAAGTTGGAGGGCAGCATTACGCCCCAAGTGCCCAAAATATTTGATGCCGTGTTCGAATGCACGCTTAACATGATTAACAAAGATTTCGAAGAGTTTCCCGAACATCGGTTAGGATTCTTTGAAGTGGTTCAGGTAATTAAATTGTTAAATATGTAAGGAGAGGGTGGATATGTTTTGATTTTCAAGTTTTTACATATTAGAACATATTTCTAGGTTTTCAGACATAAATATTTCCGATATTTTAAGAAATACGTAAATCTTCTACATGTTTTTTAAAATACACATTTCGTAATTATTTCAACGATCCGAGACGAAATTTTTTGGTCGAAGACATTCGATCACAAAAAAACCAGAGCTCAGAAATACGAAAATTTTAATTTAAATGTTTTTTCATACCTGTTTCATAAATGTTTTGGCGATTTTTTGTAAACATATCCGCCCTCTGATTATGAATTATTTAATACGAATGATAACCACTTAACATTTACTATTCTGATATCAAATAGGCCGTGACAACCCACTGTTTTACAGCGTACCTAAGTATCCCACCTCCACAATTTAAACTTGTGCTGGACTCGATAATTTGGGCGTTAAAACATACGATGCGTAACGTGGCGGATATCGGGCTCCAAATTTTGTACACCCTCCTCCAAAGCATGTCCCTCCAACCGGCCGAGATCGCCCAATCTTTTTATGAGACCTACTTCCTCGATATTCTTCAACACATATTCTCCGTCGTGACGGACACCTCCCACACCGCGTCCCTCTCAATGCACGCCACCATTTTGGCTTACCTCTTCTCCATCGTGGAAATGGGTCGAGTTCAACTACCCGGAGCTCCAGCGGGTTAGTGGATTATTAATTAATTGAGATTAACGTAGGACTGGATGAATCATCACCAAAATCAGAATATTTTAATGATTTCTCGGCTCTGGCAATCTATTTTGAAATTCTGGAAGACAAACTTGTAGAGCAATATTTTAAAAATAGATTTTGAGTTTTTGAAAGAGGATATCTTTAGTTATTTAGAGGGTTTTAAGACGCCTTCAGACAAATTGGAACTTACCGAAACTGGCTTAAAAACTCGCCACCATTCAATTAATTAACTTACTGATCTACAAAGGTATTCAGAATTTTAAAATAAATTCCCGGAACTGAGTAATGATTAAAAATGTGTTGATTTTGACGATTTTGGTGATGAATTATTTAGTCCTAAGTAAAATCCTTAATTACATGAGTATATGTATACTTAATTGTTCTGGTGATGGGTTAATTGCAGGTAGTAATGGCGTCGTGAGTGTGGTGCAAGCCTACGTAGCGGATCTCCTTAAGCGTGCATTTCCCCACTTGACGGATAACCAGGTCAAGATCACGGTTCAAGGAATGTTCTCTCTTGATCAGGACGTGAACGGATTTAAAGAACATTTAAGAGATTTTCTTGTTCAGATTAGGGTGAGTTTTATTAAAGCGTCTTTTTGTGTTAAACTTTGTAAATACAATTTGTGCATTCTTTTAGGAATTTACTGGCGAGGACGACTCTGACCTTTATTTGGAGGAGCGTGAATCCATGTTGCAACAGATCGAGACAGAAAAAAGGAAAGTGCAAATGTCCGTGCCTGGAATTTTAAATCCGCACGAAATCGCGGAAGATATGCAAGATTGATATGTATTAGTTTAATTTTGAACTTAATTACTTTTGAAACTTAATTAATTTTGAGAACTTAATAAATTATGATTAAATGATTGATTATATATCTTGTGCAACTTTGATTCTTGTCAAAATTTAGTGGCAAATGATAATGCATAATCGATAATTAACATAGAATATTCAGCACGTGGCTTCCGCCAGTTTATTAGTCTTACTTATCATTATTAATTAGTTGAATAGCCTCGAGGTCATGTTATTAGAAAAATAAATTGGTAAATTGCGATTGTGTGACTCGGTCAAGTAAATAATTAGACTGACTTAGATTTAAAGATCTTAACAAAAAATTGGATTAATTCACGATCAAAGTGATAAATTGTTAAGCAATTTCCTCCAAATATCATAATTCCAAAGGCGACATGGATGGAGCGGTTGATGTAGATGAAAATCTAGACAAAATTAAACTAATTAATGGCAAAATTCACATTTAACAAATTAATTATTAAGGAAATCACACTCACGGAAAACAAATTAATTATAATAAACGCAGCTGCAAAATAGAGGGTCACAGTCTTTTTCAATTTCCAGCTCTCGAACGGGTTGATGTCACAGTAGATGAACACGTTACGAATCAGCATCATACTAAAAAATTGGATTAGAATTCTTATAAATTTTGCAGTTACATATTTGCATAAAATTTGCATAAAAGCTACATACCTTTGCCAAACTCGCAACCCCATGTTGACCGAGTTCGCCAAAAAGAATCCAACGCTGCCAAATAATCTCGTAAATAAGTACGAAGCTGCCAACACGACGCAGGATAAGCCTATTAATCTCCGGTTAAATCTGCACAAATAAGACGAAACTTTAGTTGATTATTTTGTAAAAATTGAGTATCGCTTCGCTTATCATTTACGTACTTATCCATCTGGGCCTGCGTCATGGCTGCAAAAGTGAACGCTTCCGTGACACCGTTCAACGCCATGATGAATATGTAAGCACAATTCGCCTGAAGAAGTCTCGTCCCGGGTCCCTGTTCACTCAACTTTGACCCTCCGTACAAAAAGAGGACCGTGTTGCTGTACGGGATGCCATACACGATCATTACGGATCCGATGAGGAGCATCATTTTTACCAAATTTCCCAAAACTTCGGCTGTGGCTTGGGCTAATTTCTGTTGATACAATTTTATACACAATTTTAATTTAGTTCGTCAGAAATTTTAATGATTAACGTCGGACTGGATGATTCATTGTCAAAATCAGGACATTTTTTTTTAGTCATTTCTCAGCTCTGAGAATTTAGTTTACAACTCTGGACGACAAAATTTGTAGGGCAGGTCGTTGCAAATTTTTGGAAAATATACCCTCCAGATTTTGACACTTTTTGAAGAAGATCTCAAGTTTAAGAACCCTTCAGAAAAGTTGGAACTCCTCGAAACTAGCTTAAAAAACTCAAAGCCATTCCACTATTTAATCAACTCACCGACTACAAATTTGTCGTCCAGAATTTTAAAATAAATTCCCAGAGCTGAGAAATGTTTAAAAATGTGCTGTTTTGACTATTTTGAGTCATCAAGTCCGACGTCTGCTACTACGTACTTTATCCTTCCTTGAAAACGAATCCCTCCTCTCAAGCGTCTGTGCAAAGTAAAAGTATGCACTTTCTTCCACCGGGAGGAAAATGAAGCGCGCCGCGAGAGAGCCTAAATTCGCCACGAGATCATAAACCCCTTGTTCGTCGAAGGCCAATATGTCAAAAAACGTCATTAAGTAGCGTTCCCCCTCAGTCAAGAGCTGTTTAAGGATTCCCTGCTTGAAAAATGACCACGACAAGATTCCCAACTCGGTGGGGAAAGTTGTTTCGCTTTCACGACTCCAATAGCGGGGAAAAAAGTCTTTTACCCCAAAAAAGGGGATATCTCTCCTCGCCAAGCCAATGTAGTAGTAGAAATATCCGTAGTAAATCCCACCCACGACTAATACTGCTACAAACGAGCCCACGGCGTAACCCAGGATTGAGTAAGACGGGTAGAAAATCACAGTCCATAGGAGAAATATGGATCGCACCATGATTAGCGTAGTGTCGCCAACGATCTGGAACAAATTTTAGGCTAAATATAAGTAAATTCTAGAACAGATGTAATAAACAAGCGGAAACGGAGTGAAAGCGGTCATGGATTGTCAAAAATATTGAAGGCGCTGATTTCTTTCGTGGAAATTTGCTTTAAAATGAGATTCAGTTTGAAAATTAAGGTTAAATTCAACTTTGGAGGACAAGACGATCATAATTTATCGACTGAGTCCATTTAATAATACAAAATTGGTAGATATAGTAGTGCAAAATTTTAGAAAATTATTTGCAAAAATACATTTTGGCGAATAAAATTAATTTTTGAGACTGAGTTTGCATGCATGCATACGGACAGACGGACAAAACAAAACAAAACGAAACGATCCCAATAACTTTGCTTTCACTTCGTTCCACTCGTTCAAATAAATTTGAAGTTTTAGACTTGTGCAAAACAAAAAATGTCGTTACCCTCAACTTTGCGAATAGAAAATACTGCCCTATAATGTATGGCACTTCGGAGAAGGAGTCGACAATCAGTGCGAAAACGATGCACCACACGGAGGACCGGTATTGTTGAGCCACAGCAGAATCAGGACTAGGCCCCGGATTCGAGAGCACGTTTGCCCACGTGTAGCCAAAAAGTAGCGACCAGAACGTCGTGACGGGAACACTGTACAAATTTTAGCATAATTATGCAAATTCTTTACACAAAAAATATATAACAGCACACACATAAAAAACTCACACCAGCCAAATTAAGTTGACCGTATCGCTCCACGAGTCAGTCTCCTTCTTGCGAAGAACCGCCCTTCGAAATGGTTCCCTGCTTAGGAACATGACGGACGAGTAGAGGAGGGCGAGACGCACGTTGCACACGCCTAAAACCTCGTGCGACACGTACCGCAGGATGAAGGCGTTCAGGGCAAAGGTGAAAATTCGCGTAAGCACCTGATCAACACAAAAAAATTAATCAATTTAAGTTAGACTCGACGATTCATCACAAAAATTGTCAAAATGAACACATTTTTCATCATTTCTCGCCTCTGGGAATTTATTTTAAAATTCTGGACGGCAAATTTGTAGTCAGATTAATAAAATGGCGTTGAGTTTTAACCCAGTTTCAACGAGTTCCAATTTTTCTAAAGGCTTCTTAAACTTGAGATCTCCTTCAAAAAGTGTCAAAATCTGCAGTGTATATTTCTAAAAAAAACGGCAACTTCCTGCTCTACAAATTTGTCATCCAGAATCTGAAAATAAATTCCCAGAGGCAAGAAATGATTTAAAATGTCCTGACTTTAGTGACCGTTTACCTGGAAAACGATATTATACGAAGCCGACTTTACACTTCCGGACAAAATTTGGTCTGGTTTCCGCCTCTCGGCGCGACTCCGTCTGGGGGACCCGGCCATTTCAGCCTCATCCGAGGAGGACGAACTCCAGTCGGCATGGGAGGAGTGCGGCGACGGCGATGGGGGACTAGATAAGGGCGTCGGACTGCGAAAAGTTGGTGGAGGTGTGTCTTGAATAAGAAGAAAATATGTGATTAACTAATTATTTATTGCATTTAACTTTATTTAATCATTACAATTTCTTTCATATTTATGCATATTTACATACAAAATGTTTATTAAGTTGCAAAAACCCTTGCTAAAAGTAACACGATAATTAATTACTAATTAAACTGACAGACAGCTTATCTGGAAGATTATGAGGCTAACTGACTTCTAAACAAGAATTAACGGAAATTGTAATTGATAAGCCGCTGATATAATCGTTAGTTAATTCAGCCTTAATTTACGACGCTAACTAACTTTGAAACAAGAATTAACCGAAATTGTTATAATTTAATTGATTTTTATAAATAGCTCAGTTAGTTAATTAATCAGCCGACTTGAAAATGCCCAACGTAACGTCGCCCTTCTTTTGAACCAAGCAGTATCTGCAATTAATTAAGTGTATGACTTCAAAAAACTTGACCCAGAGAGAAAAGCTAATCACAATTAAATGTAATAATTAACTAACCCTTGGTCAGATTCGAGTCGGATGACGGGAAAAGAAGACGAAGAAGAATTTGGGTCAAGTTTCCTAGCTTGATCTGCCAAACTACTGATAACGCCACCCATGTCGGGAGGGGCCACACCCTTCGCTAAATATTAGATAACGACATAAAAATCACGATTGTTTGACATTTAGTTAATATAAAAGCTTTTAAATGCTAAATGTTAAGCAATCGTGGACATAAATAATTAGGAGAATCAATTAAATTGCAAATTCCCAATTGGTCATATTTCGTGCAAAAATTTGGCCAGTTTTCAAAGATTTAATGTGCAATTGAATTAAATAACTGCTCGTCTAACTAATAAATTGGTGCGATCGAAAATTAGCTTATCTGCTGTCTGTTCGATACCTATTGCTTATCAAAACCTTACTAATTTTCTAAGTGCAACGGTTAGCTTGAGAATTCCTAATTTATTGACATCTGTTGCTTTCACTCACCTGATAAGCAAAGGCCCCTCTTATCCACACACATAGCACCCACCACACCAGGTTTCTTCATTCTGAAAACCAAGTTACAAAAACAACGTTAAATTTAAAGAATAATTAAGCAGTTAGTTAATTATTTTGCAAAATTGCGAAACCAAATAAAGTAAACAAACTCACATGTCGTCCATCTTTTCGTCCAAGTGTCGCTCCATCGTAGCTGCTTTTCGTGTAATTTAAATGCAGCTTTTCTTAACCAACGACGACAATTAACTAAATTCTAACACAATTAATTATTTTATTTATAGGTTAAAGTTTAATTTCAATTATTTTCTGGACAAAACAAAATAAAGATTTTGACGAATGACTTGACGAGTTGGAATTTGAGCCAATGCACACTTTCGTCTCAAGTTGGAAGGTGTATTTTTTCTCTTTGTTTGCAAAATGACGCAAAAAATGGGTGCATGCATGCATGCAATTTTAGTTGCGAAAATTTATTTTATTTTATCAAATGTATTTTTTGCAGATAATTGATTAAAATTCTACATTAATATATAGACCAATTCTGTATTTTTGTATCATTTATCATTTAAATCTGATATATGCCATCATTTTTCGAAGAATGTGTATTCAATCAATTTCAAACTTCTTCATTTTGAACAATTGTACCTCAGATTTTTTTTAACAAAATTAAAAATAAACCCAAAACATTTTTTTTTTAATTTGCTAAACCAACAATTCAAACAGTTGAACTTTTATATTGGACATTACGAAATGTCGCTGTCTCTGAAATTTTATCTGAAAGGATTATTTAACTAATTAATTTCCGTACATAATTTATTTTCGACGTTGCAGTTTTACACTAGATTTAACTGCTGCATTTCAATCTCAAAACTCACCCAAGTTTTCAAGATTTTATTTAAAAGTACTTCATTTTCAGTCCAAATTTCTTTGAAACAATGCGAAACCCGAAACAAATTATTGTAAAATGTTGTAATTAACATAATTCTTCACTTTGAATAGTTGTACCTCAGATTTTATTAGGATCAAAAAATCCAAAATATTGTTCTGAACTAAAATTTCGAAAAAACTTGAATTTAATTTTGTATAGTGGGTAACAAGAAAATTGCTCACTATTTCATCTAAAGAATTACTTTAACTACTTAATTAATTCCTGGATAACTCATTTTCGACGTTGCAGGTTTATATTCGATTTAAGTGCCGCATTATAACTTCAAAACTCACCCATTTTCAAGATTTTTATGATTAGTAAATAGTCCAAAAAAACTTCATATTCAGTCCAAGTTTCACGAGAAAAAATGCAAAACATACAAAAAAAGCATTGTAAAATCTTTAAATTGATTGGTCACCGGAATCAATTATTGGTCACGATTTTAATGATGATATTTAAGTTCACATATTTCATTTCCACCACAGAAAAATTTAGGATAAAACTCGATCCTTATAAAAGTTCAGTTTCGTATAAGACACCTACGAAAAATTTTCATATTTTCGATGTCCAGATATTTGCAGCTTTTCCTGTTCTTTACTCATTTTATGCAAGAAACGAAACAGTTTTCTAAAATCCTGTCTATCTACGGACTCCATAATTCGAAAATAATTTCGAAGAAAAACAAGTTCAAAATCCGGAATTAAAAGATCATTTAAATGAAATATAAAAATCTAGTTTAAAAAATAAAATTTGTATGATCGTTTTTTTTTAATTTCCAATTTTATCCTCGAATACCGATCAGAAAGACGTAGATGCCTTTCTTCCATTAAAATCATCAACTTTACTAAATTTTCGTAGATCTACAAAAATTTGTCAGGTTTTACTGAAAACTTAATTTCCTTGTACAGTTGTACTTCATATTTCATAATTATTGAAAAAAACGAACGAATAAACAATAAAAGAATTATTCGTTACAAAATTATTCATCTATTTTAATTCAAATTAATATAAGATTTTTGCAATTTCCAATTTCGGCGTTAGACAAGGACAGATTTTTGGATAAAAATTCATTTTCGTTTTAATTGATAAACTAAATACGAAAATTTGTTACATTTTTCTTAAAACAAAAATATCTCATATTACGACATAATTCATAATTTCAAAAAGGTTTAAAAAAACTAATTAAAAAATATGGAATAAAAACACTATTTTAGTAAAAAAAAAAATAATGCTCTTACTAGTAACAAACTCACTTATCTATTTTAAACTACAATTTATATAATTTGTATTTTTAGAATTTCCACTTTTGACGTCAGAAACTGATACTAAACTGCCAGTTTTAGAACACGAAGGAAAAAACGAAATAAAATAAAAAGTACGAAATAAAAAAATTGTTTGTTGCAAAACTTGAAATCTATTTTAATTAAAATTAATATAAGATTTTTTCAATTTCCAATTTCGACAGATTTATGGATTAAAATTCATTTTCTTTTTAATTGAGATAAAATCCATGCGAAAATTTGTCGTATTTTTCTTAAACCAATAAAACTCATCCCTTGTTATTTGTTGCGAGATGTATGTAAACCAAATTTTGTGAAATATGTAAATTCCTCCAGAAATATTATGGGTTCCAATAAATAGACACAATTGTATTAAAATTCTTGAAAAATATGTAGGTGGGTGTTTATATTTCGTTTTTCGTCAATTAGAATTTTTTTCATAATTTACAAACATTCTGTAATAAACTCCAATTTTGATAATAATTAAGCTCCAATTATCTGATTATATTTTAGGATACATAATTAAGTATGGCGTAAAATTTAGGCTTCAAATTTTGAGAGTATTTGAGGGGCGAAATTATCCGTAGAATCCGTATCCTCCTGCAAATTAAATGCATACATTTTCATAATTCCAGAAATATTCCAAAATTTTTAAAACCCGTCTTTAAAAAATTAGTACCATAACCGCCATGGCCAAATCCACCTGGAAATATAGATAGCAAATATTTTAGCAAATTTGCATGAAATTATCTCAAAATTATGTTCGTCAATAAAAATTTACCGTATCCACGTCCGAATCCGTGACCATAACCGCCGTGACCGTAGCCAAAACCTGCGCAAAAATGTTCCATGAAATTGATCCCTTATATTTAAAATTGTGCAAAAAAAATTGCAAAAAATTACCACGTCCATAACCACCCAGACCGTACCCACCATAACCACCTGCAAAAATCAAACACATAAAAGTTGTCCCTGCAAAAATATTTGCACGCCAAAAATCAGAAATCCTCGCAAAAATTACCTAGACCATATCCTCCTGAAATTTAAGAGAAAACAAAATTTAATAAAAATTCCACACTTTTCAATTTATTTATTAGCTGCGTTGCTTAATTAATTCAAAATTTCATAAAAATTCCACACTTTTCAATTAATAAAATAAAAATTTAATAAAAATTCTACCCCTTCCCATTAACCAAATCCAAATTTCATAAAAATTCGATAACTTTCAATTAAAGGCATTCTTAAATTTCATAAAAATTATACCCTTTCCCATTAACCATCCCAAAATTTCATAAAAATTATCCATTAACCAAATCAAAATTTCATAAAAACCCTTCCAAATTTACCAAAAATTCATAATTCTCTTACCATAACCACCATACCCATAAAATCTGCCTTCTGCCCCCTCCTGAATCTCTTCCTTCTTATCTTCCTCCTTCGCTGCCACAAGGGCCGCGACGACGACAAGAATGGCGAAAATGGCGAAAACCTTAGGAGACATGATGCTCTTATTTAGCGTCTAGCTACTTTTTTATAACTCTGTAAAGCTGCTGATGTCAGAAACTGAAGTGATTCCGACCTACAGAATAGTTTCCCCTTTTATACAAAATATTGAACTTGTCGTTCAATTAGTCTGACCTGGAGAGCAACAAATCTTGCCACCATTTAAATTAACCTGAGTAACTTACTGCTTACATTAAAATAGGTTAGTTAGTTAGTCATACTTGACATTTTGTGGGGATTTATTGGCTAAAAAAGAGGTACATACATACATACACACATACAAAGTACCCTCCAGTGATGGCAATAAGTAGACAAAAGTGCCATTCTGCCATTTACTATGTGCAGATTTTTTGCAATCCATTAAACACAGATTCGCCCACTAGAATTACATACGTTAACAATCTCCACAACATTTCCTTTACATGATCTGATCTTTTACATGAAAATAATGTGCACCGTGATGTGATTACGTTTATGCATGTGTGTGGGTCTGTTCTGTTTCTGTTATGCTAAGAAAATTGCATATGCTTATTTACTGTTTGTTACTTTACTTTCATGTATTTATTTTGTATTATTTTTTTGTACTTATTTTTCGTACCAAACGACTCCACGCACAGATAGATTCAATCAATACGTAGATAATAGTGGTCAGTGATCCGTAGCAGATTTAAGTGACACCAAACAACAACATCCTGATGTGATCTTGACTTGGATTTTTTGGATTTATGTCTCGTGGTAAAGTGACGTGACATTAAACTATTAAATAAATGTTGCTTATAAATAATTGAAATTGAAATTATGTATATTAGCATAAACTTGGTAATAAATGAGTGATGAGTGCGCCATAAAACAAGAGTAGACAAATAATTACTGTATGTAATCATTAGTGGTTTCTTTTGATTTGTGGGTGGGTCAATGTTGCTTAATTTTTTTGCAATTTTGTTTTTTGCAAATGTTTCTAATTAAGGTTGCTTTTCGGACCCAATTTTTGTTCTATTCAATTTATTGACATCTTTTACGTAGAAATAGCGTCGGTTGGGTTTTGTTAGTACCATAGATAATGGATAAATAAAGGTGTACGTAGGTACCCAGCGTAATAATTGTAATCATTTAACCAATTATTTAAGTGCAAAAAATGTAGGCAAAACTCGTGTCAAGCAATGCGATGGAATAGTAGTGGTCATACATAGGTGGTTAAAATTATAGTCGCGGTTACAAACCTACATAATTTTGCAAATGTATTTATCTGCAAAAATTGAAATTAGTATAATTTCTTAATTCTCTTTTATTTGTATTATTTTTTATGTATTTATTTGGATAAAACTGTGTACAAAAAGAGACCAATTTTTATAAAATAATTTGTTTTAAACGGAAATAAATAAATATGTAAAAATAAATAAACCAATTTTTGTATGTAAAAGCATGCAGTCATCATCCCGTGAATCCTTATCCTTTCATCAAGTGAATATGAGGTGACACCAAGGTTCGGGAATTTGAGACGGTATCTTGGACATGATCTTTCTGTACATTGACGCTATTTACATACAATGTTAGTGATATATACACTTCAAAAAGTCACGTATTGGTACTTCCTTCCGTCCGTCAAAATTTTTCACGAGTCATGCCACGTAATCAAAACCAGGAGCTAGTTTAAGGTTATCAAAAACATGGTGTAATTGGTAAATCAACACATTTTTTATTAACATAACACAAATATGTTGATGAACAATCTAGTACCGTGAAGATCAATGGATTCAAAGTAGATATTGATTTTTGACTAGTTTTGCACCTACAAATTGATTCGTGTATACCTTTGCCAAAGGTCCTTTGGACACTTTTGAACGAGTTCTTCTCTCGACAAAAATGTGGTTTGGTACTTACTTTTGAGAAATAATTATTTTGAAAAGAAACTTTGGGATGAATTAACTAAGTTTTTCGCTTTAGTAAAAATGCGAAATAATCACAAAATAAATATTTTGCAGTATTTGTCATATTAACGCCGGTACGAAAAATACAATATGTTGAAGTTTATATTGCGCAACGTAGATAGATGAATCGGTTGCAAATTAACAAAATACATCAGACGCAAAAATTGTATACATAATTTTAGCGAACTAGCTGTCACGTCAAATAAATCGGGAAAAATTTTCACATTTTTAAAATTTGTGAATTAGCAAACGCGAAAAATTATAATTATTATTTGTCTCTTTTCTTATAATAACTTATTTTTTTCCTGTAACATTTTTCGCGAAAAAAATTTGCACACAATTTTTTTAAAGAAAAAACTTTTTTATTTTTATTACACCCACAATTAAACATTATTACAACAACAATTACATCCATCAATACAACATATTCTAGCAAAGTTCGCGGAAATGTAAATAACAGTGTAAAAAATTCAGACAATTAATGAACAAAGCTGCGAAATTTATTTTGTCAAAAATCGCGTGTAATAAAAATGCAAGTTTTTTTAAGACGATTATCTTTCGAAAATATTAAACACAAATTTCACTCTTTAACTTGAAATGCTTTATTTCAGCACAATTTGAAGAAATGAAACAATTTTCAAAAATTTAGAGGAATGCACAAAGCTATCCAAATTTCAGGGAGCGACTAAAGGAAAATATTTTTATAGGCGTCGATGTTCCTTAATAGATACGCGTTTTTATACCCCATAAAATGCATCGAATAAGGAAAACAAAACAAAAAACAATTTTCTTCCGTCATCCGTGTAACGGAAGAATAAAAAAAGTGTATATACAATTAATCAGAGAATAGAATGTTTGATGCAAACAGTTATTATTCGGAAATACTTGTTATCTAAGAGACTGAATTTGCCATTAAATTACATTTATAATACAGTTAACTAACGAAGTAGTTTGTTAATTAAGTTGTAATATTGTCCCGGTTTATTACAGAATCTGGGTATCATCCCCAACTCCAGCGTTTCTCAGGGCTTCTAAAAACATATAAATAATATACAAATAGATAATTTCAAATTTCAATAAATTAACTAGTTGTAGTGTTTCGTTTCTTGCAGGCTTGCTGCATTTCTTGCAGTGCAAAGCAAGCCATGCGAGGTGCAAGAAGCTGGGAGAAAGTGCAAGAAATATGTGTCATCTAGCCATTTATCGCAAATTTTTATTAGCCAATTATCGCGGCGGGCTTAGTTTTTTGCGCCGCGCATTTCTCGCAGGTGAAACCATCTACAAGAAATCACTTTCTTCCATCCGAAACACTAATAATTTTGAGTTTCCGTTTTTTTCAGAAATTTAAAAACCTAGCTAAAAAATGTACAACAAAACAAACTCACGTGCCGCATCTAAATGTCCGCCATCTACCAAACATCTAAGGAGATGGCTTCCCTTGGCGTCTCTATCGTATCGAGAAGATCTCCACTGAACTAACACTTTACTGATAAAATGATCCGTCGTGTCCACGCCCATTATCATCCGGTGGAGAGCTGTATGAACGTCGCCAGGCGGCACGCCGAAATTTTCGTGAAGTTCCGCCAAACTTGTGAGAACGGAGGGAGTTCCTATATTTGAGGCGACTCTGGATGTCGTCATTGTTGCCTGGACTTGTACCCCGGGTGTCAGTGGTGGCAAAGGTATTTCGGCCATGGCGTAAAAAATTTGTATGTAAATAGTTGAAAAATTCGAAAATTTTGGTTAATTTTTAGTGGCTAATTTGGCAATTTTGTATACTGATGACAGTTGCAGAGTAAGTTATTTACTGGGGAAATCTAACGTTTGACCAAGTTTGTGCGTAATTTGTGTGTGTTTTGCAATGGTTGTATAAAATATTCAGATAAAAAATACGAAAAATTGTAATTTTGAGTAATTATTTGTGGAAAATTTTACAATTTAAGTAACGACTGATGCGCAGTAAGGGATTTTCTGGAAAAATCTGACCGTTGATGAATTTTATTTGCAATGTATGTTCATTCAATACATGGTTATCTTTGGAGCGATAAGCTACTGGGAAATGATGGGCTTCGGTGTATTAATACAATTACATATTTTATTTGCATATGTACATACAACATGCTTATCTATGCAAAATTCGTTACCAAATCGTCGCAAGTTTTATAATGACGTTTTGGGCGTTAAAAAACTACTACTGTTAGGCGGATGTCAATGAAAAACGTGGAATTAGGTATTTATAATTATTGAAAATATTAAAAAACTATATTTAAAAACACAATCAAAATAGTGATTCGAAATTATCTATCACAAAATAAATATTTGCAGAATTTTTCATGTTATGATTTAACGTCGGTGTGGAAAATAAAACATTTTGATATTTATGATTGATTGGAAAGATTACCAGTACCATCCCATGAATCCTAAGCTAATAAAAAAATATGCAAAATTTTAGGTCATGAAAATTTTACGCATTAAAAAAAATATGGATAAACGCGAAACATTGTGTTTGTTTCTTCTCTAGTAACGAATTTTTGCCTATAACTTTTTTTTCGCGAAAAAAATTTGCACATGATTTTTTTAAAGAAAAAACTTTTTTATTTTTATTACACCCACAATTAAACATTATTACAACAACGATTACATACATCCATACAACACATCACATGACTTCAACAAGCTAAATACTAAATACCATTGAACACCTACTTATTCATCTACGTATGTACGTATGCAAATTTCTATTGTTTTTTGCAGTGCGTTAATTTTATTAACTTGTCCGTACTTCTGCTGTTTCAACATCGTCAAACATTAATTATTTCTTAACAATTCTGTCTAAATCTTAATCTCAACACAAAATTGAGACAAATTTATTTCCTGTAACATCACAATCTAAATAATTTCAAGAAAGAAATCAAGAAATGTTTTTTTTATTCGTTATTTTTTACCCAATTTTTAAATATTTTTTTTGCAAATTTTGTTTTTTGATGTGATTTTTTTATTATAATTATTTGGAAACCCAGTCGGAGCAGATTATCGATTTTCAACGCTTTTATTTCAACTCTTATTATAATCCCGGAAAGAGAAAAATGAAATTAAAAAAAATGATAATGAACAAAAATAATAATTATTTTATTTTTAAAATTTCAACCCCGAAAAT